ATATAATTTTTGACGTTCTGTTTATATAAATAAAAGTTAATCAAGTCTATAAAAATCATAGTGAAGAGATTTGTATATGCCACAGTTAAACATTGATTCATTTGTAAAGATAAAATACCGGTTAGTAAAAATAAGGTATCACTGTGAATGTATCAAATACAAGACACATTTAGGCATGAAAGAAATGAGGTGTTCAGTTTTTAACTTATTCAACGAGTATTTATACATGTTGATATCTTCCCGCTGTTGTTGTTTAGGTCTGCGACAGATCAGTTATTATTAGTTTATATGCATTCAGAGAAGATTGGGCCTAGTCCTTAGCACCGACAACGGTAAGATACAAACATTCACGAATACATTTTCGTATACAGTTAAAATTATTTTCAAAAATGTGTGAAGATATACACTTTCACTAGCAAATATATTGCAGGGAGATTCTTAAGCTTATAATGACGAGCTATGGGCGATAAATTCGATTAATGGTATCCTTAAATACGTAAAATTAACTGAAGTCGTAAATATTAGCCAGTGATTTCTAACTCAATGGTTTAAAAGTGTTGTGCTGATTTGAAGACACGAAGACGTCTTGCTCTGTTACTTTTGGTTTTGAAGAATTACAGATTTCTTCAGTTGGATGAAGTTGCTATTCTTTGTTTCAAAGTTCCAAATAGCTGTCCAGATTATGTCACTTCTTCCGATGCGAACTGATCTAAGTTACAAAAATGTATTGCTTTTAAAGGTTTCCGTTTGATTTTTATTAAATGATGCTATAAGCTTAGGTAAATGATGTAATCATAATATTCGACATCCGTTAACATTTCTATGCTTTTTTCTGTACCGGCGTACTATACAAAGGCCAATTGATTGACTAATTAGCCAAAGTTTCATTATTGTACTCTAAATAAGGTGTATTTTGGTCAGTTATGCTTAGTCTTGATAAGGTGTTAGCTCACAGACTAGACTGTCTACATTTCAGCCATTAGATACAAATTTGAATCGTCTCATTAAGCTAACTCAATTTATACAGTAAGTATGATATGTATGGTATACTGGTCTGCAGAAGACGATATAGACCCTGAGTTGAGTACATAAATGGCTGCTACTACCGTGCGAAATACTAATAATAGTTTGTGTTGAATAAAATAGGAATAAAGATGTGGGAAATTCCTCGGAAGTATACTACATAATAAAAATAATAAAAATTTTCTTGTTTATCTTCCGATGCCATTGTTCAGTAACTGCCTTAGATTAATACTGAAATCTATACAGGGCTTTCATATTTTAAATGTTTTTTTAATATCAGTCCATGGAATAAACCATTTAGTCTGTCATTTGTTTTTTTTTGACGAAGTTTTTTAATCTAAATAAACACTGTCCTTTCAAAGTTTAAAAGTTACTAATTATTCATACTTATTTTAGAATGTTGACTTTTTGAACTATTAATCGTATGATAATATGTAAGTATCTATAGGTCTTAGCATCTTTTCTTTAACTACTTTTATATTGATAGTATCACTGAAGAACATGAAAAACATTGCAATATACTATTGATTCAATGTGATAGGAAGTGTTTTCTGTTGTAAAATCATTATTTACATGTGACTACATTAAACGTCTAAGGTTGGCGAACAATCACACTGTGATATCAATAAATTAACATTATTATAGTATGAGGTATTTTAAAAATTAGTTAGGAATGCCCAAAACACAGATAGATAGGACAAGGTTAACAGTTATTTTTTGTCTTTACTAAGTGTGTCTTACCTATCAATTTTGGTCGGTTTCCTTTTCATTTGATGTGTCGGTGTTAAACATTGGAATGTAGTTTCCGTGAGGAATTTTATTCTAACCCGGTGAAATCGTTCACTGAAGCTGGTTTTGAATATGTTGTGTTTGATGCGGCCAGATATTTATTATAAACAGTACAAATATAATAAGAGATAGAAGTTGAGATGGAATGCTTTGTAAAAATTGCACTCTGAACTAAGACTTTACTAATACAACGAATAAAGGTCAAGGAGGATTGAACAGCTACTTCATTCTAGTATGAAACTCATCACCAGTGTGCACCCTTGACCTCCTCGAGAATTAAATCTAGCACCTTTAGGTGTGTTGCCGTCAAATAACTGAGTTTCAATTTATCCATGTATCTTTAAGCATTTTTATCCTTCAAGTGCTCTTTTAACCATTCTTAGTGTGTAGTTATTTATTAACGCAAGTGCAGTAATTACATCAAATATTCAGTTGTGACAAATTTCATTTACTGAATGACAGAGATAACGAAATCAACTCCAAATAATGTGTGTGCGTTTTCATCAAGATTGAAATTCGGTTAAAAACATCATATTAAACAAACTATCTACATAAACATGCGTTGAAATATAAACTAATAGTTTGACAGAAATTCCGCACTTATTATATAAAAGATCATATATTAAATAATCCCAGTGACTGAAATTTAAATACTTCCGAAATATCACCCAGCAAACTGATATGAGCATCTACAGGGAAATAATCAAAATCAGCATTATCAAAGAATATATAAATTTTACTAACAAAACCATATTATACATTCGTCCAATCGTGTTCATTTTCTTTACAACAATTTTATGAGATATATGTTGTGAAAGTTGCTCACCATGTAAAACTGACATGAATGTGTGGGTACCTTTTAGAAATAATAAAACAGTTAGAGAATGTTAATTGTAAATTGATCATTGTTTAAAACTAGTAGTAAATATGAATAAAATAATCTTGTGGCAGTAAGTATGAAATCAGATCAATCACATTGTTAACAGTAATGTTAAATTAAAGATGAATTCAAACATTATAACTAAGTAAACATTCTTTTTTGTTGGGATCAAACTATATTCGCAGAAATCCTAACTACTTAAATAAAACACTTTTGAAATTTTACCTGATAGTTTGCTTCAAGTTTTATTGTTCATGATCATATTATGCTTGAAATTAGGTGTAAAATTAAATACAATAATTTTATGAGAACAGGTTATTTTTGCAAAATAAGTAGTTGTCGGTTTATATACTACTAAATTAATCAACAGTAGTCGGAACTATATACAATTATAAAAAATGACTAGACAAGTAAGTGTATGTTGTTGTTAGTAAATACAATGGCTTAGGTAGAAATGAATATAGCATTTACAGACAATGTGTCTCCTCATTTATAAATCAATAACTTCTGGGGTATAATGACACTCCGTCGTCTTATTAATTTATATTATTTGAATTGTCGAGGATGGGTATAATTTCGGATTTTAGTCTTTCTCTACATGGTAAATAATTTTTGCAGACTAAATTAATCACATACATCAGTCCGTCAGCTACAACGTGGGACCAGGCACATATGTGCATCGGTCCAAGTTGCCACACATCATCATTACAACAAGATGAACATCGCATTCGTAAATGTTGTTAATTCAATGGTAGTAATATAAAAAATAAAGATTGCATATAAGGATATAGTACAGGAAGAAAGAATTACTTCGTAGAAAGAAAGACATAACGCAGTTTCAATCTCATAGTTCAAAGGAAGACAGACAGTATATACACCTACTACATTGTGATCGTTTCTGAGTCTCCAACCATTGGTTACGATAGTCACACGGACCACAATCAAGTAGTCTACATCTGTCAACTTGGCTAAGACTAAAAATTAGTGACTTCAAAGACCGATGTCACGTTTCGGTTTGACCAACCCTAACTTTCTTCCAACCATCATCAACACTAGTCAGCATTGTGCGTCTTGGTAATCGGTGTTCAGGTATACGCAACACGTGACCCAACCATCTCAGTCGATCAAGACTCACAATCTCATCAACTGACTTACCATCATTCCCTAATACCATGTGTCTGTCTAACCTCACCATTACTTACACGGTGATTCCAGGAAATGCGCGCAATATTTCTGAGGCATCTGTGATCAAATACTAGTAGCTTACGAGTATCTTCTACTCTTATTAACCACGTTTCGCAGTCATAAACTAGAACAGAACGGACTGCCTCGCAGTATTCTCGTCCTTTAATTCATATACGGATATCTCACCTTCGCCATAAGTGACGTAAGTTGGTAAAAGCCAAATGAACTACCTGAATCCGTGCAGAGATTTCGTTAGGTATCAACCCATGAGGGCTAATCATGCTTCCAAGATAAGTGAAGTTATCAACGCTTTCGACTACTTCACTCCCTATCCTTAGTTTAGGTGTTGACGCAGACTAGTCCTGAAGCAACAAATTACATTTAGATGGGGAGAAACGCATCCCATCACATATATACTATAAACAAAATTAACATCTGAATATAAACGAACAAATGTTTACTGTCCAATTACTATGAACACTGAATTTCACATCAAATTCAATACTATTAATAATATTAACATCAAACTAGCATATTGTTTCAAAATCTGTGTAGAGTTATAGAATATTTAGATTAAGAAAGAAAAAAAGAGGATTTTTTTCTCCAACATGTTTATTTCTTAATATTTATGTTCATTTGTTTCATAGATATATTAAATTACAAGTTTTAAAACTTTTTTTTCATATGTTTATAAACATCCATTGATATAATACGTGGTAATCTTTAGATTACTGACATTAAGCATATGGGTATTATTTGAGATCTAGTTAACAAATGAAATAATTAATCATTTTAATAAACTAATTTCTTATTTTTTTTGTCCGATACCAAAAGCCTAACCTAAATATCCTTCATACAGTCGTTCTACGAAAGTTAAGCAATTAGTAGAAAAGGTTTTAACAAAATACCTTAACTATTTGTTCCATATGATCAGGTGAACTGATTTGTGTACGTTTAACTGATTAGCTATGATCAATTTTTTTTTTCAAGAATAATTAAATCAATATGATTGTTCAGTATTGAAAGTGAATTCATAAGAAAGAATTATTAATTATGAACTTATTCAATAAATAGGTGTTGTTTACCTCCTCTAATATCATTTTATTTTTTTATTGAAATTTAGCTCCGATGGCTACGGTTCATCGGGGACTACATCAAATGATTCATTTAAATCAATTGTTCTTATTAGAGAGTTTGAATCATCATCAAACTCTTCAGAACTGAATGATATGGATTCGACGATGACCACCAATAGCACAACATCAACGAGAACGACAATAACAACGACAACATCAACAGCGATAACAACACCAACAACAATCAAGTCAATTTTTACAACAAATGTAACATTTTCAACTACGACATTGACTGATACTTTAAATAGCAGTTCTGTCGCAAATGGTGCGACTAATGTATCATATTCAACAGATAATGCAAGTATGGCATATAGAAATGATAAACAGGTGATGAATTTTTTCGTAAAAGTTTAAATTAATTTCTAAATGTTATCATTCTACTGTATTTTTGCATAGTTGCTAATAGTGGGACACTGAATATTTACTTTGAAGTTATTGTGATATAGCGTCTTGAGTTTCGTTGCAAAACTAGGTGTATCCAAACCAGGACATGGCATCAGTATGACTAAGTCCGTTGGACTGAGTCGAATATTAAGTATTGAATACCTAATTGGTGTTAATCTGATCATCATGACAGATGGTTGATGATATTGGATGACATAATTCATCATCAGTCAAAATAGAACAGATTTATTCACTTTTGAGATTCTCTGAGATCTTGATTTTCACAACTGTGCTTCGTATTCCCTGAGTTAATGTTTTCCTCTTCGATTATATCAGTCATGCCCAATGATTTCCATTCCCTTTCATACTATCAGCGCTTTAACTACTCTAACATTTTTCTTGGTGTTTGCATTTCATTATGCTTATGTGTTTGCTCTAACAACCAGAGCAAAAATTTTTATAGGTACATGGAACGTTCGAACAATGTGGGAAACCGGGAAGACCAGTCAAATATCAACGGAAATGAGGAGATACAACTTAGCAGTACTGGGAATCAGCGAAACCCACTGGACCCAAGCTGGACAGAAAAGGCTAGCTACGGGAGAGATGCTGCTATACTCCGGTCACGAAGAGGACAATGCTCCATACACTCAGGGAGTCGCTCTTATGCTGTCCAATGTAGCACGAAATTCACTTGTAGGATGGGAATCTCACGGATCCAGGATCATCAAAGCATCATTCAAAACAAAGAAGGAGGGGATCTTAATGAATATTATCCAATGTTATGCACCCACCAATGATAGCAACGACGACATTAAAGATCAATTCTACGAGCGGCTGCAGTCAATCATAGAGAAATGCTCAAGAAAGGACCTCACCATTCTGATGGGAGATCTAAATGCCAAAGTCGGAATAGGCAACACTGGATATGAAGATATTATGGGACGACATGGACTGGGAGAGAGGAACGAAAATGGAGAAAGATTTGCAAATTTGTGTGCATTCAACAAATTAGTCATAGGAGGCACAATATTTCCACACAAACGTATACACAAGGCTACATGGATCTCACCGGACCACACTACAAAGAACCAGATAGACCATATTTGCATCAACAAAAAATTCCGAAGGACAATAGAAGATGTGAGAACCAGGAGAGGAACTGACGTAGCTTCAGATCACCACCTAGTTGTAGCCAATTTGAAACTGAAGCTAAAAAAGAACTGGACAAGTGGACAAACAGCAATACAAAGGTTCAATACAGCCTTCCTTCGAGATACTGTCAAACTCAATGAATTCAAGATAGCTCTCAACAACAGGTTCCAAGCCTTACAAGATCTACTGAAAGAAGAAGAAACTACTATGGAGGACAACTGGAAAGGCATCGAGGAAGCATTAACTTCAACGTGTCAAGAGGTTCTCGGTCTAAAGAAATACCATCATAAGGAATGGATCTCTACAGAAACACTGGACAAGATCAAAGAAAGGAAGAACAAGAAGGCCGCAGTTAACAACAGCCGAACACGAGCAGAGAAAGTCCAAGCACAAGCTGAATACATAGAAGCAAACAAACAAGTGAAGAGGAGCATTAGAGCAGACAAGAAGAAATACGTGGAAGAACTAGCAACGACGGCAGAAAAGGCTGCTAGAGAAGGAAATATGAAACAGCTTTACGATACAACGAAGAAACTATCAGGGAAATACAGTAAACCAGAGAGGCCGGTCAAAGACAAAGAAGGCAGGAAAATCACCGAAATTCAACAACAGCGTAACAGATGGGTAGAATACTTCGAAGAGCTCCTGAATAGACCGGCTCCAATGAATCCATCGAACATCGAAGCAGCACACACCGATCTTCCTATAGATGTCAATCCACCAACTACGGAAGAAATTAGAATGGCCGTCAGACAAATCAAGACCGGAAAAGCAGCGGGACCCGACAATATATCAGCTGAAGCACTGAAGTCAGACATCGAAGTAACTACAAACATGCTTCACCTTCTATTCAAAAAGATTTGGGAGGAGGAACAAATGCTTATGGACTGGAAAGAAAGACACCTCGTCAAGATTCCAAAGAAATGAGATCTGAGCAAATGTGAGAACTACAGAGGCATTGCACTACTGTCAATACCAGGGAAAGTCTTCAACAGAGTGTTGCTGAACCGGATGAAGGATGCAGTAGATGCCCAACTTCGAGATCAACAAGCTGGATTCCGTAAGGATCGGTCGTGCACAGACCAAATTGCAACACTACGGATCATCGTCGAACAATCAGTTGAGTGGAACTCATCACTATACATCAACTTCATTGATTATGAAAAGGCATTCGACAGTGTAGATAGGAGGACATTATAGAAACTTCTTCGACACTACGGAGTTCCTGAGAAGATTGTCAATATTATCCGGAACTTTTACGACGGACTACAGTGCAAAGTAGTGCATGGAGGACAGCTGACAGATGCATTCCAAGTAAGGACCGGAGTCAGACAAGGCTGTTTACTCTCTCCCTTCCTCTTTCTTCTGGTGGTCGACTGGATTATGAAGACCTCAACATCTGAAGGAAAACACGGAATACAATGGACAGCTCAGAATCAATTAGACGATTTGGACTTCGCAGATGACCTAGCCCTCCTATCACGTACACACGAACAGATGCAGATGAAGACAGCCAGTTTAGCAGCAGTCTCTGCATCAGTAGGCCTCAGTATACACAAAGGGAAAACTAAGGTCCTCAAATTCAAAGCGGAGAACAGCAATCCAATCACACTTGATGGCGAAACTCTGGAAGATGTAGAATCCTTCACATACCTGGGAAGCATCATCGATGAACAAGGAGGATCCGATGCAGACGTAAAGGCGAGGATTGGCAAAGCAAGGGCCGCATTCCTACAATTGAAGAACATATGGAACTCAAAACAACTTTCAACCAATATCAAAGTAAGAATCTTCAATACGAACGTCAAGGCAGTTCTACTGTATGGAGCTGAAACTTGGAGAACTACAACAACCACAATCAAGAAAGTACAAGTATTTATAAATAACTGTCTACGCAAGATACTCAACATCCATTGGCCGGATACCATCAGCAATAGCCTTCTGTGGGAGAGAACAAACCAACTTCTAGCTGAAGAGGAAATTAGGAAAAGACGATGGAACTGGATAGGACATACATTACGCAAATCGTCAAACTGCATCACGAGGCAAGCCCTAACTTGGAATCCTGAAGGGAAGCGAAAAAGAGGAAGGCCAAAGAACACATTGCGTCGGATAATAGAAGCAGATATGAAAAGGATGAATTACAACTGGACGGAGCTAGAAAGGATTGCCCAGGACAGGGTTGGATGGACAATGCTGGTGAGCGACCTATGCTCCTTCACGAGGAGTAGCAGGCGTAAGTAAGTAAAAAGTATGTGTTATGTAGAAATTTTAATGGTTGCATATAAATTTCGGGTTCTATACGGTTCATGACGGACTAACATAAATTGTTTCATTTCAACAACCTGTGTAAAAATATATGAATCATATTTTAGTCTGTTTAAAAAGTAATATAATTCTTATACAAGATGGCAACCAATATTTAGTGCCATTTCTTACCAAATGATTCAAAACACCAACCCGTTACTTTAACGTGAAGTTTTCTGTCATTCTACACTGATGTTAATTAATCACTGGAAACATGATTATAATAGAGCTCAATTAGATTGTAGTTCAGTTTTTCAGTTAGTTTGCAATTTCATAAACTATAGTTTCATGAAGTTTTATATTCATTACACTTGAGATACTCTCCAGAAAGTCCAGTTGCAAAGAAATTTATGGTATTTTATTTTACATAAGTATTTTTATCAATACACATGATAGTGAAGATTACTAAATGTTATTCATATCACAAACCAATCTAAGTTAGACATGCACTGATAGATAGAAAAGAGTGGGTAGCTGTTTTGTCTTAGTAAAAGATTCCTCGACAGGGTGCATTCACAATTCCATCGGCGCAAACCACAGGACCTTCAAGTGCCATGGTGAGCACTTGTCCTTTAAATTACTGAGACAACATCTAACAGAGTGCATACCTCTTGTCAACTATTTCACGATATTGTGCTCACTAGTAGCTTACTTCATTGAGTGTTTCTGGATTTCTGGTGAGATGACGTGACTAGTGGAGTTCGAAAGTGTCGAGTTTGAGATAGGTAAATGTCAGACGAATAGAAAGATTGTTGCACGACATTGAGAAACGATTGGAGTTAACACTATAAACCACTGAGTGATGACTAAGCGGTCTAAAGGTTATGGGCTCACTATAGTACTTGAAGATGCCGGGTCCAATCCTCTGTGGGGTACTGTATACCCTCTGCTAAAGAGTTTCATACCATGATAAAACGGCTGTCTTATGCTTTCTGTTTTTTCAACAGCTGTCTAACTAAGATCAGTCCGCGAGTACAGGACCGTGATAACTTCTAACTAGTAACTTACCAAATGTTATATAAGAATTACAATAAATATTACAGCATAAATGGTTATAGTAGCTTTGTAACCTGATTGTTTATAAACAGGCTTTATGCTAAATATTTTGTACAAAAGTGTAATAGTTTAGTCATGAAAAATGTTAGACTTGTTTGTTCAATTGTTTTGTTTTCCATTATCCGTTTGTTTGAATATAAGCGTTATTAATTCAGATACAGCTGATAAAAGTAAACAGAATATGCCTATTGAAATATAGAATAAGAAAGATTAGTTCAGAGAAGAGTTCCGTTTTCGGCGAATTCATTTTCATTGCTGTACCATCGCAAATATATATACTTATTTTTGAGGATGATGATAATTACAATAACAGTGATAATAAACTTCTGTTAAACATGGTGACAGTGAGGTAGAATAAACAAAGATATTAGTGTTTTAACTAGGGAAACTAATTATAGTCTTATCATTAAGCGCTTAAATATTCATCATAAAGATAAATAACGAAATTATAATCGAGGACGGATGGCTGATATAGTTGAAATAAGTAAATTCAATATCAATACAAATATTTACACTTTTCCTTGTGAGTATGATTGTAATTTCTCCTGTTTAATTGTGCTCTTGTTTATTTTCTAACAAAAAATAATTTTGATAAGGCTACTGGTTTTGGTATCGTTAGCTAGGGCTTTTAAAGTAGGGAGCTAGTACATCTATAACTACTAGTTAAAAGCCCATGTCTTTTTTGATATCAAGTATTTGTCTTTTAAGCTCTTTAGTAACTCTTCAAATCTATCAATATCGCTGTTCTATTTTCAGGTTTCTCAAAAGGAACTATCATTTCACTATATGGGAAACCGGAAATCAGTAACACTACTCACACCGCCAACAGTACTCAAACTCACTTTGAATGTGTTCTCGTCTTAGTTTGAGACTAAATACTGTGATTGTGTAGTTTTAAATAGGGTAAAATACTCATCCTCAGTTTCTCTGCTGGCAAAATCCGAAAATACGATAAATCAATTCTTGATTTTGTAGACCTGTACAAAAGGCATTAAAAATGAACTCTTGAAGTTTGTAGACTAAATATTTAGTCTTAACTATTAAGTATATATATATCTTCAGAAATTAAATTATTAAATTATTGGATACTAAGGAGTGAAGAATATCATTCTGTCTGAGGACCAATTTCGAATAAATTTCGCGGATATGTCTGAGCGACGTGAATTCAAGTATCTGGTGGTCGACAAGCTTCATAATTACAGACACAAGAAACACCCAAATATATATGTAGTGACTGAAGCTCCTTTTTGTTATCTTCAATAAATACAGTAAACTAAACGATTTTATTAAAAACGGACGGATTGTATCTTGCAGTGGAATTCACGTCGCACGTCTTATTTAGTTTGTAAACTGTCACTTGGATATACTTGAGCCATGATGTTGGTGTTCACAGTTACATTCAGATGCAGTAGATGAATCTAGCTGATGTGCTGTAAACATTACAAAACGTTCTTCCTTCATTTCACAGCTATGTATAATCTGTGTATTCTACATAGATTATGTCAAAATGACAACATCAGGGCAATCAGAACAGGATTCACACACCAACAATGACTTATTGAATTTCAATCCTGAATATTAATCACAGACTAGCTCAAATTCTCACTAATAATGGTATAAATCGGATTGACTTACTAGATTTTTATCTTTATTGTCAGCAAAACGCATTCAGTGTGTCATATTTTAACCGTGTACGCTTGTTTTACTTATTCCTATAAACAGCGTCATGAAAATAGTGTACGTCTAATTCAACCAAATTTAATTCAAGGATCATTTGATTCATCCGTTTCAGAACATGATTCTACATCATACACTTATGATTCATCATCTTATTCTTTTTCTTCAACTACGGCACCAACAAATTCATCTATAAACACAACTAGTAGAACAATTGATTCTAGTATTTCAGATGTGTTAAGTGTTGCTAATAATAACTCTAAATCTTCATTAAATAACAATTGTCGAAACAGTAGTAATAATAGTAATAATAATAATAATAATAATAATAATAATAATAATAATAATAATGATCATGTCTTTATTTTATCTCCAACACCTTTCAATCGAAAATTAAACTTAAATCAACAGACGAATAATCATTTTGTCCCATCCTTATCTAATACTACAAACTACAATGATAATACTACAAGTTGTAATGTTCCTACCATGAATGAACATTGTAAAAATTGTCACAATATCATTGATAATAATAATATTAACAGTAATAATACTAATAATAATAAAATTAATAATGATCATAACGATAAGAATATTCCAAGTCAAACAAATGGACAATATATTTCTATTATCAAACCTTTTATACAAGATAATGAAAATAATCAGAATTCTTTTAATGGAATAAATAATAATATCGCTCCATTAATAACAAATGAAACAGTTGCAACCATGACAAAAAATGCTACACAATCAAATCATTTTTATTCACCAGAAATTGAAACTACTCTTAATTTATATTCTCATTCTAACGATTTTTATAATAATAATAATGATAGTGCCAGAATTGATATACAAAGAAAAGGTGGAGGAAATGGAGTACAAATGAATAGTCAAGAGAAAATCACGGAGTTCAAGAATAATAATATTGATACAAATAACCATAGAAATAATTACAAACATCAAGAATCTGATAACGCTGACACTCTTATTATATGTATATCCAACAATAATCGTAATAATACTTCTGTAGTTATGACAACTACCGCACCTAATGACAGTAATGATAACAATAATAATAATAGCTATGTCGATACTAGTAATATTATAATGAGAACAACTAATCCTGATTATAACAGTATCGATGTTAGTAGCAGTATTAACAGTAGTACTAGTAGTATTACTAGTAATAATCGAAATTATTATTTACATTTAGATAGACAGTTAAACAATAATAAACAAATTAATAACAGTAGTATGAATCTTAAGAATTCCTATGATACCAAGAATGCATTTGATTTCACAATGCATAGTCGTCCTAATAATAATATTAATAGTTCCATTACTATTCTCAACGACCCTTCTAATACAACGAACCAAGGAAGTGATGTATCCATTGATGATGCAATGCCATTGTCACCAAGAACAACAGCAACCACAAACAAAACATTGAAACGTTTTGTATTAACCAGAAGTCCATTAAGTAGTCCTTCAGTAACAACACCAACCAGTATATCACCAGCACCAATTCATCAAAATCATCATATAAATGAAAGAACCCCACCTAGTTCTGCCATAGAGAATACAAATTTATCCATAACAAAAAGCCATTTTAATCGAATCAATTTATTAAATAATCCCTATAATTTGTCACATCAAAATTATGATCAGATCGACCCATCATTTTCATCATCAACATCGGAATTAGATAAAATATCTTCATCGATTACATTTTCGTCAAATCCATCTAATCACACAATGATGACACGTTTTACAAAACAACCTGAACCACAACAATTAAGACAAGAGAACAAACAACTATCATCATTGATAAAACATCAACAACCACAACAAAGAATAACACTGAATAATAATAACTATAATAATGATAATTTATCATCAGCACAACCGCTTTCAAATCATACTGATAATATTCGTAAGTTATTTGTTTCTTCAAAAATATTATTAAGTTGTTAAATATGTATACTATGGTTTTCGGATGGACAGATTATTCAAACTAGTCAGTCAGCTACAACACAGAACTCCGTACGTATGTACATCAGTTTACGTTGCCATACCACATTACCACAGAGATACAATTGTCGATTCAAATCCCGTAGTGGTAGAGGTAGTAAAATTATAAGCAGTAATCGGAAACATTAGGGTTTGAAGATGTTATTAATGGAGTACAAACCAGTAAAATAAATTTAGAAAGCGAAGAAAAGGGATATGAAGAATTCAGAAGATTAGAATTTGGGAGAACACAAAGAGTGGATGCATCTGTGCTACTGCAAACAATTTTGAGCCATGTCATTCAAGGTCTCTAACCATCGGTTTTTATCATCTCGCAGTCCCCAACCAGGTAGTCTACACCTACCAATATGACTCAGTTTACTTGTCAGTGACTTCATGGACTTGTGCCATGTGTTTGGTCTTGCCGCCCCCAGTAAATGTTAAACTGGAAATTTAGATGATGAAAGTATTATCTCTAAAACCACGTCAGCAACAAAGTTTAACAAGAATGAAGAGAGTGGACAGCCCTGACGAACACCACTTGAGGTAATCAATTCTGATAAAAGTGGCCATAAGCTCTCACTCGGCCAGTTGTGTTCGAGTAGAGAGCCTTTATAAGGTTGATGTAAGTTTTGATACTCTTTTCGGTGACAAACACTGCCATAGAACCTCACGATCGACAAAGTCAAATACCTCCTTAAGGCAGAGAAATACTACTATTGTGGGCCATCTGAATATGTGTATATGTTCTAGGATCTGACGTAGTGTGAATATCTGGTCTATGGAGCCACGTCCAGGTCGAAAACCAGCCTGGTTTTCTCTAGTCTGCTCTGCACGAGCTCTAGTTACGCGTCTAAGTGTTATCAAAACTAATATTTTAAAGACCATATTAGTCAGACTGATTCCTTTGTGATTGCCACAAGAGGGCTTCTGTCCTTTCTTATAGACTGTCACAACCAGTGATTGAGAATAAAACAACTCAGACACACAAACACCACGTTAAAAGTATAGTTGAATATTTTTATTGATGTTGCGTGAATGTATAAAGCACCAAAATATTTAGAAGATACATAAAGTCAATTCGACTGTGAAGTAGTAGTTAGGCACTTTTAAGTAGTTACATACCAGAATAAAATAATTTTACATGCTTTCTGGTTTTCTTTGATAGCCTATCTAAAATCAATCCACCTCATAGCTAACTTCTATTTAAAAAATCATTTTTTAATTCACAAATCATAGTTTTTCTTTGCAGTTATAAATTTTTACTGTTTTACTTCGAAACTATTTTCATTTTACAGAGAGTTTGAATTCAACATTTAGTAGAATTAGTTCACCTCCATCAGTATTTCCACGACCTGCGTTTTGGACACCGGATGTTAAGTTATCACGTAAAGTTAACAATGTAATTCAAGAGGATCCTAAAACTAAAGTTTACAAATGGTTTGAAAGCTATGAAGCTGCACGTTTACTTGTGGATTTTGGTTTACCAATTACTGGTTTTAGTCCAAATTTATCGTCGTTGACATTTTCACGTGTACCTGAATGGTTCCACGGTTAGTCATTTAGTTAGTCAATAATTTTAATGCTTGCAAAAATTTTACTAAATACTTTGCGATGTCAACTACTGATTACAATTACATGACATTTTTATTGAAATGAAGTACTTTCCTGACGTCGTCCTTTGAAACTTGAATGAATTACCTGATCGTAAATAACAAAAAATTACGAATCAGTTTGACTAATATTATTACCTAGAGGTTATGTTTTATTATCACGCTATGCTTAACTGTGGTTTAGTATCACACAGGGTTTCGAATGTGTTCTTAGACGTATCTATCAACTATACAGCTTCATTAGGCCCTAAAACATAGGAAATACATACCTATATCTAACTGTTTCCCTATTCCTGTAATTCGATATTCAACTCCTTTACTAAATAGGCCATGTATTAGTATCAACAGATTATATATTTTTTAATAAACCTCTATTAGTTAAGCTAAATATTACGGCTAATTATCATTTACATTATTTGGACTAAGTAATATCCGTCAATACTTTATGCTCTGATTATTTTTTATGTTAGTAGAGATACTTAGCCCCGTGTTTTCTATAATGCGGCTATATCACAGTTGACCAAGTAACACACTAAAACTTATTTATTTAAGCAGACCGGGTATATTCTCGTTTCGTGAGTAATAATTAAGTTAAATGTACATTGATCCTTCGCTTTTGTTTGTCCCACAAATTAAAAGTCATGAAATTAAATAAAGTAGCAATAGTAATAAGAGTAATATTGATGTTTTTATTCAGTATTATGTAACTTGTTTACAGTAAAAGATTTGTAGTACCATATATGCAATATTACAACAATTTTTCATCGTATATCCAGTTAACTTGTGAATGGTAGAAAAAAATATATATCGAAAAGTATTTCAGAAATAATCAGTTGATATTCATCATCATTCTCAGACATTTTAAAATATTTTCTTCATGCGAATCATCACAACCACTTACTGTTTTTACAAAACAAAGAAAAAAAAGTGAAATTTTACCAAATATTTCGCTGTTTACTAACAGTATCATGCTGAGATTTTTCGAAATGTTTTCCTTATCCATTAGTTGTGTTGTACTTAGGGTATTCAGTCATTTTTGTATTGATTTAGTGGATTAGTGGTGCTTATTGAATTTAGAACAATATATATATATATATATATATATATATATATATATATATATATATATATATATATATGCGAATAATATTGTTTTCCATTAGATCCTCATCAGGCTTTACTCTAATATACAGTAATATTTAAAACTATTAAACCAATCAGTGCAGTTTGTAAGTCACTGATAACAGTGGAATAGATTACACAAATAAGTGAAAAGTACAAATTGGTAGTGTGATGACAGGTGTACTAGTTGTGATAAGGATAATAAAGGCTTGAATCAATGTTACATAATACGAAATAGGACAATGATTACAGAAACATAGATACTGAAATAACATTCATCAGAATTATTAGATTGCGTAATAAAAAGTGCTCAGATAATTGGACCGGGAAACGTATATTTGAGGAAAAAGAAAACGGTGGGAGGGGGTCAGAAAAATAAAGAGTATGGAAAATAATAATAAATAAAATTATTTAATAGGGCCAAGGTAGAGGTAAAGGTGTTAACAGTTTATGAACACAAACACTTGGATTGTTTTTTCGAATTCCTATAGCTTCTGCTGTGTGTAAGAGGCGAGATCGAACCCCATAAGGTAAACGAGTAGGAATATGATAAATAACTTTAAATGACTTACTTCTCTCTACTACATGACCGCTTTCGATCAATTGTGATAGAACCGACCTGCGTATTGTCTTGACGCACCTTTACCTAACCAAGAAGGGGGGTGTTTACTAACTCTTTGGCTCATTTGTCTGGTAGTGCACCCAATAGAGCTTTCTACACAGGAGCAGCTGAAGTCGTAGATGCATATAGAAGTGGCATGATCAGGTAACTCATCCTTCAGTTGAGGAATCACCATAGATCGGGTGGAGTACGATAGACAGAGGTTGGCTGCATTAAACGTTCTCTTAACTGCTCTAGTCAGCCTATTACGTAGCACCACCAGCTACATCTCGATTGAATTGCAGCTTTAGGAAGAAAGTTTTCTCACTAGCCGTTGATGTCGTTATTTTCTTGTTTGTTACATGCAATTGTTTCTTCGAGAAACTTTGTGGATAACCCATTCCAATTAACATATTATGTATTAGATATAATTCCTTGTTTATCGTATCGACTGAGCATATCTTCCTAGCTCAATTTTTAGGACATTAGACTAGGTGTCTCTTATAATGAAGGGGTACAAAGCTCAAGAAATATGTGTACTGGCTTGATGAAGAAATTTTTCTATACACGCTTCTACTGATAGAACTGTTTTCCTTTCTGTTTAACAAAACGTCGGGGAAATGTAGTTTATTATCGAGTTCTTCTTCAAACGTAACTTTAATTGCCGGATGTTTGTTGTTAAATAGTTCTAAGAGTTCTTCTTTTCTGATGTTCTGACCGACAATAATGAAAGTATCATCAACGTAACGATAATAGAATTCAAGCTTATTAATAACCTCTTTGAGAGTTCCGTTTTCTAGTTTCGCTAGAAAAAAATCAGCAAGGACAGGATCTAGAGGTGAACCCATAGCTCTACCATCAATTTGTCTATATTTTTGTGTTATTGAAGACAAAACGGACATTGATTGTACATTCCAGAAGTAATTTCTTGAGAATTGCCTCAGGAATACCAAGTAGTTGTTGGCACAAAAAGTCAATAGTCTCAGTTAAAGGCACATTGGTGAACAAGGAAGCAACATCTAGAAACATCATTCGTTTCCCGTTTAAGTTCATATGTTCAACCTTGGAAATGCAACGCTTCCGTTGACGACTAGTTTGAGTTCGGGATCTAGGATTCAAACTAGCTGCTTTGCAGTTTTATGGTAAGGTGAATTATACATATCTAAAACCGGACGTAGAGGAGGTTTGCTTTGTGAACTTCAGTTAAACCATAGAGTCGTGGTGTGTTCGATCTAGTGGATTTAAGTGAATCGTGTATAATTTCCCATTGAATTGTAGTTTTAATTAGACGTTTTAGTTTAAGCAGCCAAAGTTATTCACAACTGTTTAGATCTCGAAATCCCGGATGACGAAACAAAAATTATGAGAAAACTTAGAGGTTAGAATAAAATTTGTTACGAGAACTACACTGAAATAAATCGCTCATCCACTAAATGAATCGGAAAATGACCATAATCTCTTGTAAGATATACTTAGTGAACATTGAAACGTTGAAGATAACCTCAACCATGATCTCTTGATATTTTGTCCAAGTATGTTTAATGTAAAATAATTCCTCCATTATATTTTACATAGGAATGACAAAATTTGTAAAATATTGAACATTTATTGAGAAAATTAAAATTAAATTGTTAACAATTTGATTGGTATACTGTTGAAAGTTAATTTATTATTTCTAATGATTATTTCACCTGATAAAACAGATTACTTATCTTCAATTCTCTTTATTAGGATTTCTCTCTCGTGAACAAGCTGAACGTCTGCTCACTAAAACTGATAAGAATGGCAGTTTCCTTCTACATTTAAATGAATCATTTTTAGGTTATGTTATCAGTTTGTTTACATCATCCTATTGCAATCATTTCCTTGTATCGGTAATTGCAGTGAAACAAACCAATTCTGGTTCACGTAATACAACTAAGAGTACTTATCAATTGTATGGTGTTGCAAATCCTGAACAATTCACCGATTTAAGAGATCTTGTAAAATTTTATTCTGTAAGTTGATTTTCATTGTTTTTAAGTAAAATTACAACTTTTATCTTGAGTTTTACGAATATGTTAAATTTGAAATGTATTATTTGCTACTTTAAAATGTTGACTATCTATCTAATCGTATATAAAATCAATTATCATTTGAAATGCTCAAATATGGTAAAAGAGTTTTTGTTTTAATTTGTGTGGTCACAAGATATTCATTTGAAAAATTGGAACAGATACAAGAGTAAACAAGAGAAATAGAATTGTTGCAATTAACTGAATACCAGTCATAATGTTTGCATATCAAGAGAATTAAAGATCACATTGTAATAACATCATTTTCAATCAACACTTTAGTTGAAGTGATCGAGGAATTGGCGGGGAAACCAATTTATTATTCTGTTCGGAATTACAGAGCGTCTTTGAATATTATGGAAACAATATTATATATATATATATATATATGTATTATTCTCTAAAGAAGTGGCTTACACTAAGTCACGAAACATCAGAAAATCTATTTTTCTACTCATCTGGATAATACAAACATATCGTTTATTTATTAATTATACCAATCTACCCTCGGTGCTCAATTTATTCGAAACATATTAAATATTTTATTTGCACGTCTTCCATCAGTTGTCCTTTACATTCTTTATGACTCTTCCAATTTTTTTATCCCAAATTCTTTCTATTTTCCTTTCGGTTCCTTCCAGTTCAATCTTCTCAATCCTTATTTGACTGGCAATCCATTTCTGATTGTTGTTACACACTATTGATATCTGTCAACATAAGTTGGATACACCACATAATAATCTGTTTCGAGCTAATTAAATATAGTTTATTCATTAATATGAGAACAGGCGAGATTTTTAAATCATTTTTTTAGATCCCTTAATAAACATTTGACATTGAATCCCTCACTAAATCAAAAACCAGTCCTTAACACTCTTATTTATGATTAATTTCCGTATCAATGTTTTTGTTTTGGCTTAAAAAATGAATCAATTTATTAGTAAAGTGGGTTTGTGAAGTTAAATAAATCCAACTATTTAATCCAAAGGCTGATCTTAATTGGACAACCAATCAAAATCAGGAGGCAAATCAAGTGACTTCATGAGATTTGAACGTCCTGGATTTATCCTCACGTAATCCCATATGACTGGTCACAATCACTGGTAGTCCCAATATATAAGAAAGAGTCAAAATCATCCTGTGACAACCATAGAAGTATTAGTTTGACCAACATAGCATCCAAAATACTAGCCTCAATAATTATCGGACGCCTAACTAAGACTCATCGAATGCAAACACAAGGAAATCAGGCTAGCTTCAGACCTGGATGTGGCTGCATCGACCACATATTCACCATTCATCAAGTTCTAGAACACATGCATACTTATCGGCGTCTGACAATGGTGGTCTTTCTTGACTTAAAAACAGCATTTGACTCTGTAGACGGAGAGGTTCTGTGGCAGTGTCTGTCATTGAAAGGCGTACCTCAGCAGTACGTAAACCTTGTGATAGCTCTTCACTCGAACAATACTAGTCGAGCCAGAGCCTATGGTGAACTGTCATCTGTTTTACAACCCAAGTTGCTGTCCGTCAATGATGCCCACTTTCTCCATTTTTTAAAATTCATCATAGACCTACTGATGGAAACAATGCTCTCGTCCACTGAATTTTGTGGCCTTGATCTCATACCAGGAGGCCCACTTATGGCGAAGGTGAGATATCCGTCTGCCAATTAAAGAACGAGAATACTGAGCGGCAGTCCGTTCTGTTCTAGTTTATGACTGCGAAACGTGGTTAATAAGAGTAGAAGATACTCGTAAGCTACCAGTATTTGATCACAGATGCCTCAGGAATATTGCGCGCATTTCCTGGCATCACCGTGTAAGTAGTGGTGAGGTTAGACTCAGGCTATTAGAGAATGATGGTAAGTCAGTTGATGAGATTGTGAGTCTTGATCGACTGAGATGGTTGGGTCACGTGTTGCGTATACCTGAACACCGATTACCACGACGCACAATGCTGACTAGTGTTGATGATGGTTGGAAGAAAGTTAGGGTTGGTCAAACCGAAACGTGACATCGGTCTTTGAAGTCACTAATTTTTAGTCTTAGCCAAGTTGACAGATGTCGACTACTTGATTGTGGTCCGTGTGACTATCGTAACCAATGGTTGGAGACTCAGAAACGATCACAGTGTAGTAGGTGTATATACTGTCTGTCTTCCTTTGAACTATGAGATTGAAACTGCTTTATGTCTTTCTTTCTACGAACTAATTCTTTCTTCCTGTACTATATCCCTATATGCAATCTTTCTTTTTTATATTACTAACGTTGAATTAACTACATTTATGAATGCGATGTTTATTTTGTTGTACTGATGATGTGTGGCAACTTGGACCGATGCACATATGTGCCTGGTCCTACGTTGTAGCTGACTGACTGAATGACTAAGGATTATTGATGAATGCTCCTAAGATGTTCCATATTAGGGACAATACTTCTTAGATTAAAATGGTTTAATAATGAATACCATCTCGTGCTGAACAATATGAAAAACATTCATTTGTATTGATTTCATTTTTGTTTTTGTTTGTTTGTTTGTTTGTTTTTAAACTCATTTTAGGTGCATAGTTTAGGACGAAATAATAATCAACAATTATTACTTTATCCTGTTGGACAAGAGAATCCAACTCTACCTGATTATTTAGACATATTTTATTCTAGACCTGATTCAACTTCTTATACAAGATTATAATTATTAGCAAAATTTCATATTATTATAATTAATTGTTTATTATAGAGTATAATGATCATTATTATCACTATTCTTATTATTATTAGCATTATGAATGTATATTTCTGAATTGGGTTTATTAAACCATTGTAATATTATGTATTATAGTAAACTTGATCTGTTTTTGTTTTTTTATCCCTGACTTATTTATTTTCTATTTTATCCTACTTGAATTGAACTTATTCAATTATCTTCATGGCAATGAAAAGATTTCATTAGCTAATAAATGAATAGAATATTAAGAGAATAAACAAAACTATTGTGAATAATATAAAATCATGAAATCTCTTTAACCTTTTGAATAAAATCCCTCTTTTTTTTGAAAACAAACAAACAAACAAACAACAACAGATGAATAATAGATTTATTTTCTATTCTATTCTAATAAAGAAAAAGACGAATACTAATACTTATTATGATTGATAGTAGTACCCTTTTCTCCAAACTTATTTTAAAGGTTTAACAATTCTTTATTTCTTTATCATTTTGATTTACTTTGGAAAAGAGAATCTCTACATGAAAAGATTCAAAAATTCTTTATCAAGATAAACAGAAAACATATTCATCAAGCTTTGTGATTTGTACATTTCTTTCCATTTACTTATATATAATTCTACTTATTTATTCATTTATTGACAAACTAACATGCCTATAAATATATATATATGAATGAATATGACAAAAATGTATATATATCTATAAATATGTATTTACATATATCATACTTGTGTATAAATGCTTTAAATGACTCTTATTTCTTTTTCAACTTATTCAAAGAACATGTTTACGTATTTCAAGAAGGTTTATGAAGACTACTCTTGAAGAATGAGATAAATGTACTAATGGCTATAATGTGGTAATGCTTTAAATTATATCAATGAATTAAACAGATTCAAACCCAATAAGAAACATTAGATTCATTGAGTTTTCACATTCAGCTTGATGATGACAATGAACAAGAAGGGAACCAAGATGAGACAAGGCTTTCTGTTGATTTAGATCAATTAACTAACATCAAACGATGTATGCCATAATGTCAAACAATTTTCATGTACTGGTCTTATTGAGACTTTTTTGATATATATATATATATATATATATATATATATATATATATATATATATATATATATATATATATATATATATATATATATATATATATATATATATATATATATATATATTGTTCTAAATTCAATAAGCACCACTACTAAAGACTGGATTGTAGTATCCATTGTTGACTTCATTATGATCGAGCGGTACTGATATTATTACATTGTAGGACTAAATTAACGTCGTGGATCTGTAGTGGCATTGGACAATAGCCACACAATCCACAAAGCTGTGAACACGAGACTACTCAGAAAATAGATATTCAATATTTAACTCGGGGAAATACCTAACAATGGAGAAGGCGCGGAGAATGAATTAGATTGACTGGAGTTGGTCAACTGGCATGGCTCGACCATGCAGGCGTGGTCTCTGCTGAGTGTTACCTTATATCTTCTATTCATATTAAATATATTGTTCTTTCTCTAGCCTAACCTTCTTCTACATCATGTATTGGTAATTGATACGATACAGTGAGTTAGTGTAGTCGATGGTGTGACTTCCACGTAAGATCTTATAGATTAGGCAGTTATATCATGACGAATCTACAATTTTGGGATTAGGTCTATTATTAGAGCAGTACTAATATAATAGTAGACCATAATTCTACAGATCTTCTAATCACGTTATATGAAATAATCAAAAATCCGAAATATGAAATTTAGTGTAGATATGTTTACTTCTGGGATTCACTTATGAGCATACAATCATCTCAGTGAAGATATATAGATACACCATGATGTCAGCACACAGCCAACTCATTCGAGTTATGATTAATTCATTTTGCACATAATTGTATATCGTGTATAAAATATTGGCGAGTAGATAGACAACCACTTAGATTGTAGATAAAGATATATTCATACACATGCATAAATAAGGAAATGTTCAACGTTCTGGTGTAATCACTTAACAAATACCAATATGAGTGTACAAAATAAATTCACTTTGCAATCATAAATAGTGTATTCAGGTAACTACACTTAACAAAGTATCGTTTACTACAGAGTGAAAAATTGGTACATATATACATATGTATGTAGCGTGTTATCATGACTCTGAAACAATATCTAAAATATTATTCAAAACGTCAACTGAATCAATAACCTTATACTTCACAATGTGGTATGAGTGGGTACCCGACTAACTTACCAAAAGAACATACGGCACTCCAAAAGATTAGCATAAAAATAGCATGATCATATTACTAGATAGATTTGAAGATGACATAAGACTACTGAGTTTTCCAACAATTAGACATTCTAGAGCAACTGTTGGCCAAAGTAAAGTCTAGTGATTCGGGGAGAAGAAGCAATGTATGCGATCGATGTGACGATTTCCTTTCAAGGTGTCGTGTAAACTAATATCTCTCTAACGAGAAACTGACTATGGAAAAACCTCCAAATTGAGACGACATATAAAGCGTCCATTATAGTGAATTAGGTCTTTATTGAATGAAGACTTTTATTAGAGTTCACAAACCATGATTCTGGCCTCATCACTTAATTTGCCATAAAATGAAACTAAACATATATGTAAGAGAAGTAAACTACTACGTCAGAACGTTCATACACCAAAAGCCTGACCCCATTATGGTAGAATGATGACGTTAACAAAATATGTATTCCACCTGCTGTTGTTTACATTTATGAGCTTAGTTCGCCCTAGAGAATAACAAAATAATATGAGTCGAAAAAGAGAATAGAATTGCGAAAAAGGTGTCCCACACATTCGTTAACTCAAACAGACAGTAAAGGAAAAGAAGCTGATCATAGAAGACAAACGTGTTAACACAATTTGACAAAGTACAACCTGATATTTTTACACAGACAGAAAAACAAGATGAAGAAAGTTTTTCATCAGTACACACGAACGTATACACACATGTAGAGAAAATTGGGGTTATCGGCGAATAGCTTCTATGTTCAAATATGTTTGCAGATGGTAAACCAGAAAGATCAGACAATTTAGCGTGTTTAAAATAATCTACTTATGAAAGATATAATACTAAGTGCCACAAACTTTCTTAATGACTGAGAGGTTACCATGCAACTGAATTTTTGAGCCCCAGGAAGAAGGAAACCAGCTGATATACACTTTTCCATCAAACATATTGTTTAAATATTGGAAGTCCTTAACATGCACATTGGTAGACAACTAATTCTGGAGTCAAAGATAACTGTTTGAACTGATGTCCCTATAGTGGCAGTAGTGTATGGTAATAAGAGAGTAATGCTTGGGATATTTATAATGAACAGAATTCCAGTACTTGGTAAGGTACAGCGAGTTGATGACTATTTAAATAGGTCGAATAATATTCGTCTGTATAACGTATTAAGCCTTTCTGAATCATCAGTATTACACTAATCGAAAAACAAACTTTGCGCCTAATATAAAAGGCTCTAATGTAGAGGAAAAACGAAAAAAACTATATCATGCATACAAAATACCTCAATCGCACAAAATGCAGATTTCTCCATACAGTTTATATACTACAAAGAAACATCCAGTACAACAAATGAAAAGTGGTTAATAAGTTGCTATCAAGCGCTTAAACGATCAATGAGACTACTCTTAACAAAGCAGAACAAAATAATGTTCCCACGATGATACAGTTGATCGTTTACAGAAGTCTTTTAGAGAATAACAAAGGTTAGCCGCCTCACACTGTAACGTTGGGTTCAATCACGAAACACCTCATCATCAATGACCAGTTATCATGCAACAAATTTAATAATAACAATGAATCTTAACTAAAGTCAACAATAATGATATGGTAAAACAAGATTGATAAATATAAACCTATGTCTATACGAATTCTCGTTAAAAGTTAAGTTACAAGGCAGGGAGGAAGATTACTGAAACTTAATGATCTTCTAAATAATACAAAACCTGTTTAAATATAACGAATATTGTGTAAACATGGTTTAAACTTGTGGATAAATGCATTTCTGAAGAAACCAAAAATAGTTTGTTCACAACTCTTATGCACGAATCATCCGTTTTTGTATAATAAAAGTAATAATAGTATCGACCAAACATTTAGAAGGGATTTTCAAAGCTCCTTCTGTTAACCCGATAGTTTTATAGAAACTTGAATCACACAAGGATCGAAATGACTCGTACATGAACATTATGAAGCACTTTGCTACCCAATAAACAACCTGTTTCGATGCTACTGAAGAAACGGACATGCTAGAGCAGTCTGACTTTCGATCTCCAAAAGTGTAAAACGATGTAGCTTCAGGCTACATGAAGGTGTAGTGACTCACGTTTATCACGAGAACACGACTGGTTTAATAAAAACAATTATTATTACAACCAACTGTACCAGTGTTTGTTTTAACGTGCTTTTGTTTGACTGTGCTAATGACAGCTATTTTCTGCTTCCATTCTTTCGCTTACACTTTGATTGTAACTTCGCGCGAATTCGGTTACCTTCTGTAACCAAGGTTGTATCCTGGCACGATCTCGGTATCCTTTCGATGCCACGAGATCGCCAGCTAATAAACCTCGACTTGGTCCATTAACTGTCTTCTGATATTTGGCTTCTCGGGGATTTTATGGAGTCATTTGGAACGAGCTTCTTACGCCTTCTGATTTATCTGGCACGTGTTTTCTGGTAGCGGTGTTCATAGTTAATCTCAACTCGACGCCACGCTACATTGGTGAGCCGTATTTTGGAACACGCCTCAACTTCAGATCAAATCTTCCAAAGAAGCCAATTCGGTGAGTCTATGATTTATCTATCCACGTCTGTCGTATATTTTCATATTTTTAATATATAATATACGCGACATGACGGATAACGATAAGAATAGTATTAATATAATAGACTCACACGTATGTGTACCGAAGCCTTGTCACTTTTTATTCGCGTGATGATGAATTCCACGCTTTATTCGAGGAATGTTACCCTATTAACGATTCTCCTCGCTGACCCGGCTGCTTGGTACGGAATGCATACGCATAAGCATATCCGTCTACCACCCAGCACCAAATGGTTAAGTTGAACGGTTTCACTGCCAACTTAAAAGTGTTCTACGAGCACACGAAAACGGCAACTGGCACGAAACCATACCGCTCGTTCTTTTAGGGGCGAGAACGAGCTTAAAGGCAGATAACCAATGTTCCGCCACTGAACTTGTATACGGCACGACATTGCGTCTGCCCGGAGAATTCTTCACACCACGGAGCAGACCTAATTTCGGTAAATCAGACTACGTCCATCGACTGTCTGCATTTATGCGAACGCTGCCTCCGGTGTCAACTCGAATACAACATCGACAGGTCGCTCTCCCTCGAGAGTTATCTACCTGTTCACATGTTTTTGTACAAGTAGATTCGGTACGCAAACCTTGGCAACAACCTTACGAAGGCCCTTTTCACGTGATCGCTCGTCACGAAAAGACCTTCAAGGTTGATCGATATGGACGCGTCGAGATCGTCAGCATTGATCGTCTCAAACCAGCACACGTCGATGACAGTGCCCTATCTGACACCCTGAGATTCAATGCTAGACCTATCAAACCTAGCGGGATCCTTAAATCTTCTTCAGGTCCCACGCTAGATGCATCTGAGACCTCATTCTCACGTCCCGGTCAACAGCACGCGTCATCTGCACCGTCTACGGACGAGACGACAGTCTCACGTCCAGATCAGCAGACCACGCCGCCCTTGACTTCGGATGAGATTGCAGGCTCACGCGACGCGAACGAGACTGCCGTCTCACGTTCCGGTCGCCGAGTACGATTACCCGTACGCTTCCGCGAATAGTCGCACAGTCAACAACCGATACGGTGTAGGATTATTCCTATACTACACGTATGCTACACTCTTCTTTTTTTGATTTTCTTTTTGTTTCCTGAGCCCACGCCTTCGACCATCTCCGTTTGGTTCCGTCGACTTCAGTCAACTTTGGCGAAAGCTGGCCTGATCACCCATGCTCTTGTCAACGCACTCAGTCGATATATTGGTTTCGAACGCTTGGCACACGCTTGGTCACGAACTTGGTCGTAACGGTCGCTTCTGGTCTTTCGGCTCAACGTGGTTTCGTCCTACGTCTGCAGCGTTTCTGGTGCGCACCTCTACGAACGCCCTCTTCAGATTCTGGATACAAACCACTCTGGTGTAGCATGCCAACTCAAGCAATAAATACAACACATCGCTCCTGGTACCGTTCTCCGATAACGACCTTCGTTGGCAACTCGACGATCAACGATCGCTTTCCTGTTCGCCAATTCTTCCGTCCTACAATCGCTCATCAGCCGATCAGTCCCACGATTCAAACCGCTATTTATCGAAAGTGTAAACCCTTTCTAGCGGGGGGCTCCTGTAGTGACTCACGTTTATCACGAGAACACGACTGGTTTAATAAAAACAATTATTATTACAACCAACTGTACCAGTGTTTGTTTTAACGTGCTTTTGTTTGACTGTGCTAATGACAGCTATTTTCTGCTTCCATTCTTTCGCTTACACTTTGATTGTAACTTCGCGCGAATTCGGTTACCTTCTGTAACCAAGGTTGTATCCTGGCACGATCTCGGTATCCTTTCGATGCCACGAGATCGCCAGCTAATAAACCTCGACTTGGTCCATTAACTGTCTTCTGATATTTGGCTTCTCGGGGATTTTATGGAGTCATTTGGAACGAGCTTCTTACGCCTTCTGATTTATCTGGCACGTGTTTTCTGGTAGCGGTGTTCATAGTTAATCTCAACTCGACGCCACGCTACAAAGGAATCACGACATCTATTTCCTCCGCAATAATCGTATTTCTTAAAAATAGCCGATATCCACTCTACTTCTCACATCGCCAGGGTGAAAACAAGTCTGTCAAATACTGAGCATCTCTCGATACGGCATCCGATCACATCTTAGAAGCTAAGAGGTTACTGAATTCTGTATCTAGGAATTAGATATAAATTTCTTGGAACGAGCATAGAGGCGTAATTCTTAAACTTAAGCGATGAACCTCGGGAGGAGAAACTTCATCACCCGTGATTCCACTTGTTATGTCTGCGGTGGAGATGAAATAACCTGATTTTAGTGTGCTACATGTGTAGCACTTCTGTTTGCTCAAATAAAAAGATCGTATACCAACATCAAAATACCGCTTTATGGGGGCTAACAACAAATGCTGAACATCAGAGAGCCACTGCCAAAGCAAGATCATGTGTTTTATCATATATGGTTTTCAATAATTAAAATGCACCTTCGAAGCAACCACCATCTTTTCAATGAACGGGGTTAAGAGGGACTTAATGAATACGAACACTCCAATGACTTGCCGTCCTTCGTTGAAGCAACCGTATATGAAGGATTTCTAAAAAATAATTACTGTCAACATTATTTATGACACTACGATCATTATCATAAGCCCACCAGCCTGTAACTGGATTATTGTAACTGAGTAACTTAAACACCACATTGAGCGATACTAGCTAGCCTATAATCCCGCCGTTGGATTTATCAACACAGATATCCATTGATAGCAGAAAACATAGTAATAAGGATTCTTCCCCCTCCATGTACAATCATCTAAACGTATATTAAATGTCTACGATGCATGGACGTGTTTGTATTAATCACAAAGGTTGTATGTTGTACTCTTGTGAGGGCGCTTGATTTATGCTGCTTTTCCGATAATGGCACTTTCTGTAGTAAAGGGAAAGTTAGAAAGAGTGCTTGATAAAAATCCACAAGATCTTGTTCGTGGAATCAGGAAGCACGGTGTGGATGAGGTACTTCTGTGCGATATTTTCATGTAACTCTGAACCAGGCCAAATATATAGGTCAATGTCTAGATGAAATTAAAAATGAGTTGAAAGACAGTTCATTTTCAGTCAAAGCCAATGCTATTAGCAAATTATTATACGTGAGTTGATAAAATTCCCGTTTAAAAGCCTAGATTCAAATGCTTGGTTATGATACCAGTTGGGCTGTGTTCAATATCGTTGAGGTTATGAGTTCTCAGAAATTCACCTTCAAACGTATAGGGTATTTAGCAGCTTCTCAGAGCTTTCATTCTGGTACAGATGTCCTCATGCTTGCCACTAATCTTATTCGCAAGGTAACGATTATATACAGGATTAAATGGAATAGGATTTAATGAGCTGTAACTTGTATGATGCTGGAATCGCCTTATCGGGTGTTGCATGTTTCATTAATCCAGATCTTGCCACGGATTTGTACTCTGACATTCTAAGTCTGGTAAGTTCCAATATCCGCACAATTTACTCCCTAGTGGTATAGTGACTACTTGGGTGACAATTATTCCCCTCAGGTTATGGTATCGAACGTATTTCCACCCTATTAAATGGCAATACATAGTAATAAAAATATTGTGTAAATACCTGCCTAGTATTTGTTTTCGGAGGTTCTTTATGGTTGGTTTTTCCCAAGTCAAAGTACAAATTAGTTTAAGAAATCCCTCACCTTTTACTTGAGTCGTCATTGGCTATAAATGTATTTTCCAGTCAGTTTTCACAAATGACCACCACTATCGCCTTTAAAAATTATGCCTTGCTTTGATCGCCTCAACATCATTACATGTACATCTGCCTCAGTGATGGAGCTCTATTAGTAACATTGATTTTTATGGACTGGGCCGGAAGTCTGTAATTAAGACCCATCCCCTGTGTTTGTTAAGCTAGTTAGTTTGGATTTGATAGATTCTTACCAGTTTTAACTCATATAGCATAGACATTCTTTGGCCCTTAGTTTATAGTAAGCAATGTCTGAACGAAGAATTGTGTTGGGTTTTTTTCGCCTTAGCGAAACCTTAATAACATTTCAAGTTTTTTAAAAAACTCCCAACTGTGCGAGGGCATTTGCTGATCAAACCCTGAGCCGAAGTATCATGAAATAAACCATAAGAATTGTACACACGAAGTTTAAATACACTTTGGCTGGGGTTGAGAGACAAAGTGTATTTGGATATGCAGGTATTCCTTAAGAGTATTTAGTCAGTTTAAATCAAATATGCGCAACTCTAACCAACTTTTAAAAAATATTGTCTTCGTAGTGTCAGATTTTAACCACAATAGCAATACTAATACGCGCTTAACTATACGAACCAGCTACTCACTGACCATTCGTAATCAAATGTTACTACAATTTGTTATACTGTTAGTGTGGTGTGATTAGATTAACAATGTAAAGCGTAAATAATTCAAAATAATATCGTAGCAGTGATAGTGATAGTCTAAACATTGAGGATGTGGTATGAGAAAACATGTATGAAGTAATACTGAAGCTCAAGATCTAAAAAAAGACAAACAGTAAATGGATTTGTGTCATTGCGATCGATGCTTAGCCATGTCACTCAATGCCTTCATCCCTCGATCGTGGTTATTGCACCGACTGGTCGTCTAATTACAGTTCATTGGTTTCAAACTTAGAATAAGCTTCAAGCAGAAGTCCGATTTCTTAAATATTACGTTTTACTCTTAACTTATGAAACACCAGAAATATGTTCTTACTCAGTAAGGCTATGTATTATAGGTCTCATTGCTCCCAAAATTTGTATTTCCTACGTAGATAGATCACATATTTAGATGACATGTAATAAATTTAAACATTGGCAAACGTGTCAATTTGACTTAGCAGTAACAGAACCAAAAGTGTAGTAACTATTTTCTAGTTGATGTAACAACCAAGGTGACCTTCATTTATCATTGTCTTAGCGTAGAACAGAAATGCAAATCTACTTTCTCTCTAATTACGGCTGCCTCGTATTGTTCAGTTTCTATTCTGGGTTCAGTTCTTTGACGTTTCATCCAATATTCTCTTGATCACGTTTTTTTCGCGCTTTTTTTACATTTAAGATGAATTCTCCAAAACCATATTTACGAAAGAAAGCCGTATTATTATTATACAAAGTTTTCCTTAATTATCCTGAAGCACTTCGTATTTGTTTCCCACAGTTGAAAGATAAGCTGGACGATCCAGACCCAGGTAGGTTCCAATTTTTTTCGGGGCCGTGCCATACAGTCGTCCACTCTTATCTTTAGTATCGTTAAATTTCACCGAATTCCTAGATAACAAATATATAGCGAGACCGTGTTAATATAGGTGAAATAATTGTGTGTGAATAAATTTTACGCTTTTAACAACAATCATATAAGAACATGGTATAGAAAAGTCAAAAACCATATCTCAAACAATTTTGTATAGGGTTTTATTCTAAATGTCTGTTGAAAATTTATTACTGAAGTAAAATAAACTATACCAACGACAAATACTATACATTTTTGGAGATGTTACTGAATAATGTCAAATTAGTAACTGTACTTTTTATATAATAAACTCTAGACGAATAAAGTGAAGGTTCGTAAATATGCATGTACTCTATTTACCATAAAAACATGATTAGTCTCGAAAACTGACTTTTCATTTATTTTCTGTGTAACTTCATTTTTGAAATTTTAATTAGTTTTACTATCACAATGGTTAGTGGTTGAGACGCATTTTTAGTTTTGCTTATGCTTTCAAGTTGGAGCTCTGCTAATTCCTATAAAAAAGTAAATTGGCAGCGTTAGAAGACTTAATACTTTACTAGTGATTACATTTGTCAGAAAGCATATATATCCTGCACTTAAATATTACCATATTAAGTAGTGTGACTTCCTCGCAGAGCAAAATTTGATCGACTTTCTGTAGTCAGCAGTTCTATGGCGAGGTTCTTCCTTACGTTGTTTTTAGTCGCCAATCTTACACTTGTTAGCGGGACATAGACTAGATTAAAGCATGCTCAATGCATGATTGTTTTGGTGCACGCTGATTGGCTGATTCTTAACTAATCAGCACTAGTCAATAGTTGGAGAATACTCTGGAATCTTCTTATGTAAAAACTATAAATATACCAACGTTTTCCCCTATTGTGCTTCCTACTGGCTTCTGACTTGCTATTTGGAATATAATCTCTTTCCTGTTCAACCGTGTTCTGATTTGGGGACTTGTCGAGTGAATCGGTGTCCAAGAATACTAAGCAATAGGAATAGCTGGGTCATTAAACGTAAGAAGAACCAAGAGATTATAACAACACTCAATTCTCTTTTATCCACAGAAGGGCTCCAGGAGTAATTAAGTAGTACATCTTAATGTTATAAATAAAATAATACTAGTAGATTCCGTTTACAACCCACTTATGATTCGCTATAATAGTATGAAACACTATTATGATCATCCGAGTTAATTGAACCATATTATTTCTGGTTAAAACACCAGTTCTTTAGTTCTAGATGCAAACATCATTACGTTCTGACAACGATTTAAGATTTGATTTGATTGAATTCAGTAATTCAAGTGTAGATTTGTTTATTCGAAGCTTTAAGTCATACTTTGGCTCGTGGAGGTTAATGATACTCCTTGACCGACTACACGAACTGAATTATATGGAGCAAGATTTGAACCTGAAATTAAATAGTGGAAAATTGTGAGTATTTTATTCTATTATGCTTTGTCTGTTTCAGGTGTACAATCAGCGGCTGTTAATGTAATATGTGAATTGGCACGTAAAAATCCAAAGAATTACCTGTCACTTTCACCCATATTTTTTAAACTTATGACTACATCATCAAATAATTGGGTTCTTATCAAAATCATTAAATTGGTGAGCATATTTGTCGTAATATTTTCAAGTTTCTACTACCATTGTTTAAATGCATGATTTAACTCACTTAAGGTGTCTATAAATTGATGGAAACCTATTTCCCATCTGACGTTGTTACTCTGGTCTCAAACGATTCCTGTGCATATTCGCCAGTTAATAAAATCAACAACTCACCTAATGTCTATATATGTAACTAGGTCTCTAGACTATGAGAATTTAAATTCTCCAGACTATTTCTCCCAAATTATGGATCTGCGCTTTTTCTCATAGATACTTCGACAAAGTAGCTTTTTAGATTAGCCTTTTCACATTTCGTGTTGCTTGTGTATGCTTACAGACACTCTTTCATTCCTACTAATAGTACATTACATTTACAGTTAAGTTATTTATTCAACTAATTACGAATCTGTTCATAAAAATTTACATATTGTTTTGCTCTATGCGATGTGTTCGTGAATCACAGAACATTAAAACAAATGTTGATCTACTACTTTATATCACTTAGCTACAATCTGACTAGTTTAGCAGTTCGACAGCCGTAATTCAAATACTTCTGGGATAGGTGGTCGTTTTTCCACTGTTTATCGGAAATTATTACCATTACCTCTGTCATTACTATCGTTATGAATTATTAGGATGGCAGAATGAAAATCAGACCCAAATTTTGCATACTAAACTATTTGATAGATTGAGCAAAAAATGAATTGGTCTAGATCAATAACCAAGTTTGAGTTGATGTACTCAGGGCTTTGAGTTATGCTTTTTTATGAATTTGAGGACTAGTGATACTCCATAGTTGTCCAAGCAAGCAAACTAACTTCGAATAGATTGGTTCCTGCATGCCTTCTATCTTAGTAGTAACCAACTTCGACATGAATCCGTGACCAACGGTGTTCAATCTAGAGCCGGATAAGTATCGCCTGTCACAGTAGGTGATTATCGTACATTATCATAAGTAATAGAGAGTGCTGGTGGACGGCCTACGTTCCTTCAGAAGGGATAACAGGCGTAAGCAACTACATATAATTTGAAGCAAAAACTGCTTATTATTAGATCGTAAATCAAGCATCTTACCATAAGACGTGGAAGGTTTTAAGACCGATCTTGTTTGCTCATGGATGAACACTGTTCTGTGGTTTTCATTGGTTCTGTAGCTACTCTTTCCTTGAATATAACTTCAAATACTCTACCGTACAATTGAGTCGTAATTGACGTATTAGCAATAGTAAATACGTTTTTCACAGATGATGTGCCATTTCTTTTAAAACAAGATTATCTTTGTTTCATGTTTTTTCTAATTGAATAAGTAGAGGGATTTTTAGGAAATCTACCGTAATATATTTCACTGATCCCGTATTCCACTGATATGTTTCGGCTCACTTGAATATTTACAAAAAGTGGTATCACTTGTTTTGTTTAAAGGTGTTTTTCTTTTTGAGTAAATTACTGTCATCCTTATTTCTTATATGCATACTTTCTATATTTTTTTATCAGTTTGGCACATTGACACCTTTGGAACCAAGACTAGGCAAAAAGCTAATCGGACCTTTGACCAATTTAATTCATAGGTAAGTAGACAGGTTAACATATGCTAAAAAATAATGTTGCGGATGATATTTAAGTTTTCTTACTTGGTTAATCATTCTGAATTTCTTTGGTATCACGGAATGATATACATGGGTCTCATCTCAAACCTTAATATAATAATCTTAAGAAATGGGATATACTAATGAACAATTATTATGGTGTTCAGTTTTATTTAGCTTATAGAAGTAATGTATTTGTCAAGTTATATATCAATTCTAGAAATTCATTTCGTCCTAATAAAGGGAGAGAAGTGATGGTCTAATGGTTAACGTTGTTTGGCTTCAAACCTTTAAGTCACAAGTTCGAACCGCTCAGTTTATTTCTGTTTTAACTTCAAGGTAGTATCAGTATTCTTTTTGTAGCCTAATTTTGCGAACCTCCACGTGTTGACAGATTTCTTTAATTAATTGAAAAACATTTAAATAGTATGTACAGTGGGGATGTAAGTTTTCTACTTTCAATATGTTAATTATGTTGTCTCAGTGTTGCCTGCAAACAACGTATAAAATGACTCGCAATTTGAAGTTTCAAGCCCTTGAAATGCCAGAATGAATGGTTATAAACTTTAGGTTACAAGAACTGAGATCACTCACTCTCTCTACGTCCCTTTAAATCATGAATAATATTGAACTTAATTGCTCCATGTCTTCTCATACGGTCGTCGCTTATTTTCATCCTTCTCTTTGTTTTTAGCCCCTTGAATCTTTTTTTATTAATATATCCAATAAATCAAATCAATGCAACTTTCTTCTAGGCACTATATCATGTCTCTCTTTAGCTTAATTGTGTATAGCAATCATTGACATCCTGATCTAAATTTGGCTTTTTAAGCTTTATCTTACATGTTTGTATGTCGTTCATAATTTTTATTTCCAATAAATTAACCTGCATATACTCATGGGACAACTGTTTTACTTCCCTCCAATTTGAAAAAAAACAATCATTTGTTGGTTAATTGCTTTATGTTTACATAGCTTCTGATTGTTCATCTAGTTAATTATGAAATTTTAAATAGTTGAATTCATGATTCGATGCGCACCCATGCATGCGCACTGCCGAGGGATCCCATATTAGGACGAAACGCCCGTCCAGTGTTTCCAGGTTTCCAATGGTAGTCTAGCTGAAATCGAATCATGAATTCAGTTGTTGAAAATTACTACAATCTCCAAAAACCCCATTCTGATTATAAAATTAACATTATATCTAGTGTGATATGACCTAACTTGTGTCTTTAAAAATAATTTGTTTTACAGTACTTCAGCAATGTCATTGCTATATGAATGTATAAATACAGTTGTTGCAGGTATGTGTATTTTATTAATACATGTGATTAAATAATTTGATTAGTCATGTTTATTTCGTATTGTCTCATTTAACTATTGGAATAGTAGGAAAGCATAAGTAGTAGCGGGGTAGTGTATTGCAGATCATGTTTTTGTTTTCACAAACTTTTGTGTAAAACAACCAAGTTATCTCTCATGAACTTGTCACTTTGCTGTTGTCGTCACCCGTAATCTCATGTTATTGTTGATGTAGAAATTGACATGATACTAATCACTTGAGTTGCATATGTTTATCATTACACGAATTTTTATTTAGTGAATGGGTTATATAAATTAATCTAGTTGAAATGTTTTTTATCTAGTAAAAGGATGTTCTAGTCATATTGGATGACCCAGCGTTTCTAATAATTAAACAATCGTCTCCAGATCTGAATCAAACCGTGTAGGCTAGTGTGAATTACATGGTTGACATCTGGGCGATCATCGTAACTATGGGTAGAGACGTGGCTCAGTATCATTCTCTGTGGTATAAGTTCATTCACTCTCTGTCTTCCTTTAGATCAAAAGTTTCTAAAATACTTCACAGAAACTTACTCCACTGATCCATATTTTTTAGTCATATCTTCTATGCCTAATCTTTACTATTACCACTGGTATTGTTACTGTTCGTACTACTCTGGGATTTACTTAGGAGACTTCACCTTGTTGTGCTGATGGGGTATGGCAACTCGAATCAATGCACATACGCACCAAGTTCTACGTTGTATGTGACTGACTGTGAAACTTAAAGGTCCTAGATTTGACTCCTGATAGAATTATTAGTGCGCACTGATGATGATTTCTATACTAGAATGAAACAACTGCCAAGTATTCTGTTGTTTTCAGTCATGTCTTAACTGAAACCAATCTTTCGTAAATATAACTTATTAATCAATTAATGATTTTTAATACATCGATTCTTTCCACTTTTCAATTCTAGTATTAATATCAATATCTTCTGGAATTCCTAGTCATCAAGCTTCTATACAGGTAGGAAAATCTATTCAATAAATTTTAATAGAAGTATTACAGGTTACTAATTTACTTATCCATATCCACATTTATTTGAACAAATCAGTAAAGTTCAATTTGTTTGGTTTTCGGTCTTCACATTTAATCTTTTAGTTTTATTTTAAAATATCATGGGGATAGTTTGTTTCAACTATTATCTTCTTTTATAGTTATGCGTTCAAAAATTACGCATCCTAATTGAAGATTCAGATCAAAATTGTAAGTTCCAAAAAAAATAGTAATAATAATTTATGGACTGTATTTTCATTTTTATCATGCACTCTATTCACCAACTAAACAATATATATATACCTACTGTGTATGACTCAATTTTGGGCTTAAATTATATGTAAATTACTTTGATTGTCATCCAAGTTCTTACGTGTGCCCAACCACTGCCTAGCTACCTCGATGGTAGTTGTTAGCTGGTGTAGGAACAGGCTAAGAGAAAGGTATAGTCAACCAACCTAAGACATGGCATCAACCCCATAGAGTCATTGACTATTGGATTGATCCGTGTCGTTAATATAGACTACTAGGTCAGATTTCATATGATTGTAACGGCGAATGGTTGGAGACGTTGAGTGACATGACTCAGAGTCGGTCGCATTAGATGCAGGTGTATTTATTCTTTGTCTTCCTTTAAATCTTGATTTTCAAGATTACTTTGTTATTCTTATTCCAGGGATTCAATTTTCTTGCACCACACTGTTTATGCACATTTTTTTCTAACTACACTGATACTGTCACTACTTCCACTACCCCGGAATATCCCTGTGCTAATACAATCTAACTATTTGTATCGTTCCACATATGTGTCTGGTTCGATGTTGCTTATGTTTATCTGACTAATCCTAGTTCTATAGCCTTTTTCTCGAAAAAAAAAACGTTTTAGTTTCATATTTTCAACCTGCTCATATTGTTTGTTTATTTCTTTTTTGCTGGACTGCTTTCTCTCAAGTAAAATATCTTGGACTATTAGCAATGCGTAAAATTCTGTTATATCATCCACAAAGTGTACAACCTCATAAAGATTTAATATTAGGTTGTCTGGATGATAAAGATGAATCGATTCGATTACGTGCATTGGATTTACTACATGGTATGGTATCAAAAACTAATCTAATGGATATTGTTAAACATTTGATGATACATATTGGCAATTCGTCATCTGGTTTACATTATCGTAATGAATTATTAAGTAAAGTTGTGTATATATGTTCACAAGATAATTATCGTAATGTTACATCATTTGAATGGTGAGTTACAAAGCTATTGTTTTGTATTGCTGTGTATAGTGTTAGTCATTATTATCATTAAGATTATTATTACTTACCTAAAGCAAGAACAAAACGCGTAGCAGAATACTGTGAATGAAATTATTTCGCAGATTTTCTTCAGCTACTTTTCATCATCGAAACAGTAGTGTTAATTAGTTAAGAATTATAACGTTGTACATACCTTGTGGGACAGAGGAATCCGTGATATAAATGAATTCACACTATTTTACTGTGTTCTTTGTTCTTGCTTTAGTCAAATTTATCTCTGATACCGTTACTACCCCTACTATGCGATTCGATCTGGCAATTCCATCTCTCTGTGCCAATGGGGTGTGGTAACTTGGTCTGATGTACATATGTACCATGTTTTACGTTGCGTTTAACTAACAGAGTGGTGGAAAATTCCATGAAATCGTCATTATTATTGCACAAATTATTTGAAGCTTGAACAGATTAACTCAACGATATTGACAAATGTAGTTTCCTCTAGTATACTAGTTCATTTAAGAGTCGCTGTAGTCGTGTATCCAAATTGATAGTTTGTTCAGTGAAATTTTCGATTTATTCTGATTTCTTAGTAAATTTCCTCGGTGTGTGGAAAAAAGTACTGTAAATCACCAGCACACTTAAGTCGAATTAATCTAAAATTTTATTTTCCTCGTCATTTCTTTACACTTTCGCATATATAGTCAATGTTGACTATCTTGTTTGCTAAATAACATAACTAGTCTCCTTAAATTGTGATTTTAAAACTTCCTATGCCTAGATTATGTATTTAGTCAGACAGCCAGACTCACCGATCAAAAAACTGATATCATATATCATGGATGTGTGATTTATTTTGAGTCACACGTAAATGATCCGTGCATAGTTCTTCACTTGACTTTAATCGGTGGTATGAATCTGCTCGATTCACTGTTTGAGTGTCGATAAATTCGATGTGCATTTCCTAAAGACATACAGTATTAATGGCCTACCTCCACTTCTTGGACATACATTTATAATGAAACTACATCTTGGTTTGAGCAGTCTTATTTGCGTGATATTGGACTCAGAGACGTTTTAGCTGGATAACTCTATGATCAGTCCTTAAACGAAAATGTGTATAGAAGAAATGGCTAAATACCTAATGCAAAGTGATACGAATTTTCAGTTACCTCTAACGCTGTATAATCACTGTTGTGAAGCAGCGGTAAAGGCCTTTAATAATCTAACAGTTATGAAAACGTTAATAAATTTATTGGATACTTAAAATCTCCTAATGTGTTTCTGAACATGACATGAAGTAAAAAACTGTTTGAACACAAAGTGATAAAGTATCTGCGCAACGATATGAAGTGGTTATTGATGTCTTACCAAATGAACTGTCGATCCGATTTCCCAGATACTTCTGATAACCCCAGACTGCATGGCAACTTGAACACAAAAGGTGCGAAGTGTAAGAAAAACGCTGTACTTCAAAGTTAATTTGTGTACAAAAGCGAGGGTATTTCTAGAATTATAGATGAGCTTTGACTTCTGGAAATTTCTGGAACCATACTAAATATAGCAGCACCATAGATAAATATCAAATCATAAATGTGACACGTGACCCTACACCCTCTAGATGTTCCTGGGAAGCTTCTGTTCAATGCCAGTTAGATAAAATGTTTTCCAACGTTTCCTGAGTCCTTATTGACGTTTCCAAGGAATACTTTGGAGTCCAAAAAAGTTATAGGTAGCTAAGATAAGAAAAATAAAAAACAGTAATGTTAGATGAAAATAAACAGTTGCTTAGCTGTATCCAAATCTTGTTTGGTGTTTTCCTATCCACTTTACCTTAAGGTTGAAATATTAGCATTAATAGATAATCAATCACATATTATCTATGAGCACAGTTCTCGTGTGTTGTGAAATCATTTTGACATCTGGAGTAGAATTTTGCATAATGTAAATTAGTGGGAAAATTTATCTAGCAAGTCTGTCCACCACCGACACTAACGTACGTTATTGTCTGGTATAATAGTGGGGTGAGAAAGTTCTAAAATAATGACTCAAGCAAAGCATGGTACACTAAATCATGAAGTTATTCAGTGGTTGGTAAAATTGTTGAACCTTTTTTTCATTCATTCTCAATACAAGTAAATTCCAATCCATAACTTATGGTTTTGTAAAATTTTAATGCTCTTTTAACTAGGTATGTTACTGTTCTTGTGGAATTAGCTAGCATTGATGGTATTCGAAATGGTGAATTATTAGCTGCTCAACTTATGGATGTTTCCATACGCGTACCGACTGTTCGAACTTTCTGTGTTGAACAAATGGCTATATTACTGGATATTAGTCAGTCGTTAACAAGCGGAGGTAAACAAAATGCTATTCAAGAAACACTTCGTGCAGCAGCATGGATATGTGGCGAATATGCGGAGTAAGATTTGAAGTTAATTTCATGTATTCTGTATTGTTACAGATTTAATTGTATCGACTTACTTGATATATATTTTAATGCTGCATCATAGCAACAAATATTAATTAGGAATAATTGTATTCTTTAACACTAGCTTCTTTGGCTTGAACATCATGTGTTAAAAATGTCATCTCAGCCGCTTCTCTCGTGTATTATCTTCCGACACTGGAGGTAGGAGGAGAAAGCTAAGAACTGGTCAGTTTACGACACAACTTGGCGATATGCAAGAAAACGGTGTAAAATTGATGTCTGTTTGTTCATCCTGACTCCCTGGTTGGGGCTTGATACATTATAAAGACGTAGCTCGGAATAGAAGTCACTGATGGTTCTACTGTGGTTTCCTCTTAAATTCACTGTGTTAATTGAAAGAAATCACCCTTAGTCGTACTTTTAACTGAACTGTATTTTCCATTATGTACTATTCGTGTTTATGTACTTTGTTTTCGACTGCAGTCCACCTTTCCTTTATTTCTTCACAACGTTATCTATTTGTGGTTCATATCATTTTTGGTGCTTAATGTAACTGGAAATCAAATACACAAACCTGGTAAATGAATTATTATTCTGCTACTTATTATTAAAAGGTAACATTAATTTCTGCGAATCGTTTATTGCCAGGTTTCTCATGCAAGAATCATATAATAACTATGAACCTTATTCAGTGGTATAGTTAACAGTATTTATGTCATGATTCGAAATTTTAGCTTGTTTCCTATCGTTTCTTTTTATTGAACTTTCCATTTTTTTGTCGTAGACCGGTAGCTTACAATCATGTATGTACACAACCTTTCGAATATTTATTGATATATTTTAGTTTTATCAACCCGGGGTGGTTTTTAAACCTTCATATTTAAAAAGTATGGTCTTGGTCTATTTTCTGAGTTGTGTTTTCCTCATATTCACTTCCTTATTCGTTGACAGTAATATATACGTTACTACATGGTATGCATTTCTTTTGACTGAACACTGATTCACGCTAGTTCATCGATTTATATTGAAGATATTCAGTTTCACAATTAAATTATGGGCTTTTTCTGCCGCCTTGTTGAAGAAAACAACTATTTTAACATTCCAATCAAATACTACACACTTGAGATTTACCAAAGTGTAGTATATTCATGTGGTTTAGCATTTCCTATAAATAATATATACATCGAAACACTGAATGACTGATTAACAAATAACATACGATTTCTTCAATATGGGAAATGAAATTATAATCAATCCAGTGCCTACTTCTTTTGACATTTTCCAAGTTAGCAGGAAAAATACCACGAAAGAAACACTGGTTACTAATGAGTAAAACATGATTCAGAATTCTACAAATGTTACAAGCAAAAAACAATGAACGTTTTATCTGTTAGTGAATAGGTGTAAAGTCTCTTCTTGGAATTAATAGTCAGTTAAATCTTTTCTCTTGAATAAATTAGTGACGTATATGCAGCATTGTATTTGCTAATCATGTGATTATCAACCCAGTACTATGAAAGCTGAACTATCATAATTCATTCTATCATCCAATGATGACATATTCTTATCTAATCTTGTATAAGTCGATTAGGCCTCAGATAAGAAAGATTTCACACTCAGCTTGTCTACATGTAAATAGTGGCTGTTACCTATTCACATATCAACTATTCATAAACAGCTTATCGATAGTGGCTTGTACCTCAAAATTATTATTAAATAAATATGACATAACTTCCTTGGAAATTAATATTGTTATCCTAAGTATTATTGTTCTTTATACTGTAATCTTTCTCTGTCTCATTTTTTTATTTGTATTTTAGTAGTCTAAACAATCCAGAACAAACATTGAATTCACTTGTTTCAATTGCCCTTGAACTACCCGGTCTATCTAGTTCAATTCAAGCCGTTCTTATATTCAATGCTTTTAAAATATACAGTGTTGTCATTAAAAGTATGATTTGTAAAGCTATTCAAAGCTTACCTTCGACGTTTACAAATAAAAAGTATCAAGAAAACGGTGAACATTTAATTGATACGAGTGACAACGAACATCATAATAATACTGAAACTGTAGATGATCAAGTTACAAGTTTAAAGACTCTACAAAATTTAATTATTCATCTGATAGAGTTGACAAATTTTCTTATGGATAAATTTATCCAGTATGTTCATTCATCTGATTTAGAAGTTCAAGAACGTGTAAGTTATTTAATCCTATATACATATATTGCTAATAAATGAAAGAAAATTCATAACTTGGTATTAAAACTATCATATGTGCCTGGTCCTACGTTGTAGATGACTGACTGATTATACTATATGTTCATAGCCTCATATGATCGATTTAATTTTATTAACTAGCGTATTAAAATTCGCTCATAAGACTAATTTCAAGAAGTGTAAATACCTGGTTAGGTTAATCATATTTTGATTTGTTTTCAATCATACAGTACTATACAAACCCTTTTTTCATCAAATTCATTCCTCAATGTTAATTCTATCTTCTTCCTTGTTATTTTTCTCTTATTTCAAATAACTTTAAGGCTGTATCGATTCATCAAGTATTGAGTTTAGTGTCGAAGCGTTTTACAAAAATCCAATCCTTTTTATCCAGTTCATCAACTTTACAACAAAATAATAATCCGTCAACATTAATTTTGGACAGTGATTTTTCTTCACCTTCACTATCCAATCATCAATCATTGGATAATTTACCTGATCAGTTTCATAATTCTCAACTCACCAGTTCTTCTATTAATATTACTAATGTCAATAACAATACAGGTGACAACAGGGTCGACACACAACTTCATTCACGAAGTAATTCAATTCAAATGGATACTATGCCTTCACTTACCTCCATAGTATCACCAACTGTGATTCTCAATTTAATTCAATCAATTATAAATGAACTAAGTGCTTTGTTCACCGGTGAAATCATCCCTGTAGCACCAAAAGCTCAGAAAAAAGTCCCTATTCCCGAAGGGTTAGATTTAGACGCTTGGATTAATCCACCAGTACCAGTTCGTAAACAACCGTGGACGAATGCATTAGATTTTATTGGGGTTAGTTACTCTCAATTGTTCGTTTTAAAAGTTTTCTTTAGAATTATCATACAAAAGTATTTTCATTTGATTCATTTATGTTTAGTATATCCTTGAATAGGCATTTCAGTTTAACTATTAAATATTTTTTTCACTTTTGACAATCTTGTGTCCTCTCATTGTGATCTAATCCCAGCTACTTTGGCTTTATTCTTATGTATCTATGCGGAGGATGCTGCAGTAATTACCGGAGCCGACGATTTTTGAGTTTACTGTACAATACGTTATATTACCAATACGTTTAATTTTCTTTCACTCCTAATTTACCCTATACATTTATCTAACCCTTTTCGTTCTCTTTTTAAAGAAATCTATAAATGACACTGATGATCATCATTCTATTCATTGGAACAATGAATTGGTCAATAATGAATGTGATATATTCTTCGGTTTACAAGATAGTAAATCTCAAACTGTTCAACTAACAGCTGAACAGTTGGATGAGGTAAATGATTATGGTTTATTTTTAATTTTTTTAGTTCTAAATTATTTCAAGGGATTATTTACAAAACAGCTCTTAATAAAGGTTTTGTAGTGTCTGTTTGACACCTGTTAGCTTAATGGATAAAGCATTTGAGCTTAAAACGAAAGGTACCGACTTCGAGTCTCAAGATGGAACATCAATGTTAAAGTGCTAATGAGTCCAAAGTAGGAAAAACTGAGCGTTCTGGACTTTATTGCTAGCCATAAACGAAACATACCAAATGAAAAAGAATGTTTTAAAAATTTTTGTAGGATTGTCGACAGTCCGTTTCGTGACTCACTAGTCATTCAAATGATAAAACTGCCCTGTTAATGTTGCATGATTTTACTAGTATGATTCGCACTGTATAACTGAATTCTGAAATCGTTATACTAAGTAATTAACAAACTAACCCATCTTATTACACTGGTATTTATGAGCTTCAAATATTGATTGTATGTGCGTGACATAGTGTAGTACAGCAACTACTGTTTGAAATTAGTACTCATTCCATATTACTTGTGTATAATATAAATTCACAGATTATACGCAGAAAACTATCTATTTTTGTTTGGCTTGATTATTTATCTTAAATTGATTTTTAGTTAATATCCTATTGTTTTGGGAATGGATTATGTTTGTCATATGTTTACTTTTAAAACATACAACAATGTTGCTGTCACTAATTTGTGAAACCACCAACGCCTAGTGAACTTTCACCAACATAATGCATTAGTTTAGAACGTGTGCATAATATTTCAATCATGATGGTCTGTTGTCATCGTAAATATTCTCATCTTACAATGAAGGTAAAAGAATCTATTGTTAAGATGTTCAAATAATCTTCTATGGCCTTATTTAAATAATAATTAAGCGTGTGACATATACTCATAAGTAGTAGTTGTTAAAATAAGTTTTTTTCTAATAATTGTGATTATTTGTACAACTGTCAATAAGATTAATTGTATTAAATTGCCCATTTTGTTTTATTGATAAATATCCATTCAGATGCGTTCAAAACGGTTGCAAAATCAACAAAACAATCCTAATTACTTAAAACCGGTAAATCCTAAAAAGAATAATTTAGAGAACTCGTTAAATGAACAACAAAATGATGTTAACTTAATCAAAAATGGTGTTGAACAGTTAAGCCTAAATGTAACTGATTCTAACAAACAATATTGTCAAACACAAATCAGTGGTAAGCAATTTATTCAATCTTTTAACTTTCCTTAATTTTTCACCCTATTATTGTCTAACTAAAGTTGGTAACCTGGTCAGTTAAGCTCTAAGCCCGTTATTTGAACAATAAAGTTATGGTGATTGTTTGTTCGAACGCTCTCGATCCATCTACTTAGGTTTGAGAAATTTCCAGTGAAGTATTTCCAACCTTATCATATAATTGCTATTACTAGTATATGAACCAAAAACTCAATACTGAACTGTTCTAAGTTTTTGTCAGATTAATATAAAGGAGTCTTAGTATAATATCGGCAAAATTACTACTCATTTTAATTGGTAGAGCATTGGTCAAAGTTTGGAGCATTCAAGCAGTAGATTATGTGTCTAAACTTTTATCTACCTTGCTTTTGACAGTTGGCTAGTAAAGCTCTAGGCTCCTTATACTTAAACTGTACAGATCCGTACTTAATAAACTATTTACCTAACTAAATTTTAGTTCATCTATTTTATTAGCCTATGTACTGTGGAAAGTCTTTTTAGTGTTAAGTATTTACTGGCTTATTACCAATTAATGTGTGTGCATATCCCCAGAGTTCATTCGTTACTTTGTATAACCTAGTAAATATAATACATATTTTTTAGCATATTGTAGTACCATATATCTGTAACACATTTTCAACATTACTCAATCGCCTGAAGTAGCATACTTAAAATTTATAAAAAACTATTAGTCCTAATCCGAATTTTAGCGTTTTGCATTCCAAACATTGTTTTGTAGTACATCTATCCATTATACTATATTGTGGGATATCACATAAATTCTTGTAAATCAACAAAATAAAATACGAATAAAAAGGAAGCGAAATATATATATCGATGTTAACTGATTAAAAAATCTTGAAGTGATATGTTGTGAACATTTTAAAATCAAATATTGAAAGGAAGGTGCGTAATAATCGGCTAATGAAAAGTGGTAAGGTAAAATAATTGTCCACTTGATAACCAAATCAGTGTGCATGTATCAATTTACTTGCTCATGTGAAGCAAGTTATATTGGCCTCACGAAGCGAGTTCTTTCGAAACGCATCTCCAAACATTACCCTATTTGGCTCTTTAAAGGATTACAGAAGTCATTCAGAAGCTCAATCTTGGGGCATCTAGTCGATTCCGGCCACTATGCTTTACCTGAAGCCTCCTTTAGAATTATACTGTCAGAAAAGTTGGCTCAATAGGAATGCAAATGAAAAACTTATGTACAGCAGAGGCTATTGCTATCCACGAGTTTAAGCCCAACCTTTGAGTACAAAAACATTATGTTCAGTTTCTTATTCTTTCATGGCCCTAACCTCCCTTTCTATCTTCCATAATCTGTCGTCTTTATTTGTTTTTATTTACTTTGTCATGCCTACTCCTTTCCAATTGTTTTCACAACCATAAACTAACAACTATTACAACTTAACAATTCTCTTCTTGATAACTATCAATCGAACAATTTTTTACTAGACAATTATTACATGATTTCCTTTCAATATTTGATTTTAAATTCTTCACGACATACTGCTTCAAGCATTTTTAATTAATTAGTACCTTTCTATCTTACTACCTTGGGCAGCATCATTGATAAACATGGTAGATCTGATGCAGATGTGAAAGCGCGGATCGGTAAAGCAAGAGCAGTATATTTACAACTGAAGAACATCTGGAACTCAAAACAACTGTCAACCAACACTAAGGTCAGGATTTTCAACACAAATGTCAAGACAGTTCTACTGTATGAGGCGGAAACCTGGAGAACTACGAAAGCCATCATCCAGAAGATACAGGTGCTTATTAACAGTTGTCTACGCAAAATACTTCGGATCCGTTGACCGGACACTATTGGCAACAACCAATTGTGGGAAAAAGCAAACCAGATCCCAGTGTAGGAAGAAATCAGGAAGAAGCGCTGGAAGTGGATAGGACACGCATTGAGGGAAGCACCCAACTGCGTCACAAGACAAGCCCTCATATGGAATCCTCAAGGCCAAAGGAGGAGAGGAAGACCAAAGAACACATTACGCCGGGAAATGGAGATAGATATGAGAAAAATGAACAAGAATTGGATGGAACTAGAAAAGAAGGCCCATGACAGAGTGGGTTGGAGAATGCTGGTCGGTGGCCTATGATCCATTAGGAGTAACAGGTGTAAGTAAGTATCTTACTACAGAACACTTTTAGAAAACAAAATTAACTATAAATACGACTGTACAGCTTAAGTAAATGAAATCGTCGACGAGTAAATTTTCGTCTCTGAATCGCCTTTTTGTAATGACACAATGGGTCTGTTTCGTTATATCTCGATGCTATGAATAACTAGATTTAAGTAATTGTATCATCTAAGGCGGCTAGTCATTAATATCTACTTTGTGTGGCAATTTAGTGCTTTTTGCTGTGTAACTACTGCATGAACTTGTATGCTCCTGATTTGTTTGTTTTCACTTATTTATCATTGTTTGTGAATTCCATTTATTTATATTTAAATACAGCGCGTAAATTGGCTACATCCGATCAGTTCGCTGCTGAAATGCGTAAAAAGTTTCAAACTGCTGCGTCTGATGTAGAACGAAAATTAAGGTCAGTTTGCCGTTTTCTGTTTGTTCACTTTTCTAATCTTTCTCTTTAATAATCACAGACATTTGTTCATATAGTCATTTTATGTTAAATAATCCAAATGACACGATGTTCGTCTAATAACCGAAAAGTGAGAGTAATATGTACCAGTACACTTGGTTTTAGCTTATCACTGTGAAACGTGGTCTTTGAAAATAGTGTTCGATTATCGGTGTCTTCCAAGCATTCCTCACGTGTGCTAAGGCTTATGAGTGGCCAGTTTTTGGATTAGACTCAGGGTACTGGCCAAAAACGTCATTGACTTTTGATCTAAACCATGTTGACAAGTGTATATTACATAGTTGTAGTTCGTACGTACGTACGAAGTTCTACGTTGTTACTGACTGACTGACTGAGTTGTAGTTCTCTCAGTCATCATAACCAATGACTGGAGACGTCGGTGACATTTTTTTAAATCGGCCGCAATGGGGCAGATGTGTTCACCTGTTGTCTCCTAATTTTTGAGTTATCAGCACTGATCGAACTCTAACTAAGTTACAGTGCATCTACTAACCTAAATGACTCGACACTGTGGTTCACTTCCTTCCATACTAACTATCTGGTGATAATCAACATAAAACATTGAATTTGATCTAGAATTTAAAAAGGTAGAAAGTTAGCATATTATATATTCAACATGATTTGAATATATTAAGCATATATTGCACGTCTGTTTAATTTAGAGTTACTGTTAAACTAGCAAACTTAGTGTATCTTCTCTTAAACAATTCATTTTTCAATTTTGCATATCAGCAGTTTCCTGGTATGATATTTCTTCTCTTTGATACTAGGCTATTTACCTCACTCCATCTATTTCTATTTGAATAGTTGGTTGGTGTCATTAAATCTCAGAGAAAAAGGTGTATATAATTTTGTTTTTAGTAAATGGATACTTCGTCAAAGTCATTGATATTAGTCCGTGAACAATCAGCTTTAGATTTATTCAAAACAAATTAGCAGTCATATAAAAAAGTTTAAAGCCGTTGCTAATGCTAATTTCTAAGATGATTTAAAATCTTAGCATGTGAAGTCGCTGCATGGTATTCAGTCAATCAGTCATTATCAACGTAGAGCCTGAGACAAATGTATAGTAGCCCAAATTGTCATATCACGTTAACGTAACGAGATGAAATGAATAAGATGAATAATTATAATGGTAATCACAACGAAAACGTTCAAACATCCGGGATGCTGTTTGAAAAGAAGAAATGGAAAGGTATATGTTGAGGAATACTCGAGCTCAAGATTTAAATAGATATAGAGTGAATGCTTCTGTCCCACTGACCGATTCTGAGTCATGTCATCCAAAGCTTCCAACCACTGGTTGAACGCATCCCCTAGGCTCTAATCAGATAATCTGTATCTACTAACATGGTTCAGACTAACAATTAATGGCTTAATGGACTTACCCCATGTTTGGGACTACTCCCACACTAGCATTGTCTTACATACATAAAGTTAGTTGGACATACGTGATACATATCCTAACCACCTTATGCACCATTCCCATAGGGGTACCGATAACAATTTGGAAGTCAGTTTTTGTCGAGTTCTTGGAATTCTCGTAAATCAGTGTCTTACATTATAACCTGTTACCAACCCGTTTCCATCTCAATTTCAAAATAGTCTTCACCAAAGGGTTGTAGTACAATAAATAACCGATAATCAACATTCTTCAACAGATTAGTTGGTTACTATAGCAAATGAAATATGATCATCAAGTAATAACCCACAGTCATACAAACCATATTACTGTCTTTTATAAAGTTCCGTTGTTCGTCATTCATATCGTTTCTGTATATTTGAGAGTATGGAAACTAAAGTTTAAAACTGTAGACTTTTAAAAGTCGTATTTCTTGGCTCTGATGAACCTTAGCATTTGTATTTCAAAAAGTAATTATACTTCAATATCAAGTTGGCTGGTCAGATCCCTCAAATTCACTTAATTCAATTCAGACATTAGCAGTATCAGTATATCATTAACCCGGTATATATATATATATATATATATATATATATATATATATATATATATATATATATATATATATATATATATATATATATGGCTATTTCGATTATCTTTCCAGACTTGTAAAGGTTTCTGTTCTGTTATAACTTCTCTTATCACTTAGATCAACAACGAAGAGCAATCATTTGAAAAACATCCATAAGAAAAAACATCCGATCATATCACCATCTTCATCGTCATTATCTTCATTAACAATTAATAATAATTCTAAATCGACTAATCAGGTTGAAAATACTCAGGAAGAAAATAAAATAGATTATATTATAAAAGACAAATTTACTTCACACGTTGTTCGTTGTGATTACGATATGCCCGAGGTAAATTCTGTTTGTAAATATTAGTTTATGTACTTGTTTTTTTTTCTTTTTTATGAACTTATGTTCGATCAGTTCAGTTTCCATCACGGACTGATCTTAGCAACTATTGAAAATTACTAATCACTAGACAGTTATTTCGACATAATATGGGCAGCTCTGACCAGTTCATATCCGAAACCACATCGGTGACCGAATCCAGGACATCCAAGTTTCGTGGCGAGCACTTAATCTTTAGAACACTGATCCCATACCCGATGGTTTATATGTTTAATATCTACAATTCACAATATTGCTTGATCATCTTTCATTTCCAAAGATGGGTAACTGCCTCACATTCAGAATGGTTGAACCCAACAGATCACTGCTCCTTACTAAAACTTCGGAACTTATCTCTTTAGAAGTTCATTCGCACTGGGTATATGACAGTTATCTACTAATACCTCTAAAGCACTCAAGATTAATGACATCGGCAGATTTAGTTGTGCAAAATCTTCAATTAATTAAAGTTGTACATGTAAACCATTGTATGCCAGATCAGTAGTGCAAAAGTTAATCGCTCGCCGCGAGACCTGAAGGTCCTGGGTCTAGTCGCCGTTGAAATTTTTGGAAACGAACTGTTAAAATTGCCCATATCAGGATGAAACGGTTGTCAAATGCCTTATAGTCTTGAACAGTTGTCTAAATAAGATCAGCCTGTAATGTAAACCATGAAAATCAATAATCTCCACAAGCATCCTATAGTAATTTGTTATTATTATTAGCATTCAGTCTGACAATCATACGTATCTTGACTTTGTGTTATTTATCTAGCTTCGACTAGTTGTGAAGTGTTTGATCTTTTTAAAGGATAACATTTTTATGTAATTACAATCTAAATTATATTCATTCATAACCTTATTTTTCTTAATTCATATTTATGCTACCTGTGTAGACTACACATCATATAGTCAGACCTCACCAATGCTTTTTATGTTTCTATACAAAGTGTATGTATATCCCATCAACAGATATGATCTATATTCAACGGCAAGTGTCTTGTGGTACTTGGGTTCTATGAATTAACATTCAAATGAGTTGTTGAAATGACGTTTCTACATGTTTCATTACACATGGATATGCATGAATTCTAGTAAATAGCCTTCATTATGTTTCATTTATTCCTTGATAAAGAAGTTGGAATCACAGTGGTAATGAATGAAATGGCAAAAAATGCCCCATTGTCGTAGTTGCATCCGTTATTTCATAGTTATCACTTGTTTTATTTGAACCGTGTTTCCTACGCTAAGCTATCCATTACTATTCTCTTCTTGCCCTTTTTTATTTTGATCATCTCATCCCTTGTTGTTTTGGTGTAAGATGTAGCTAATTAAACCGACACACCTTCGTCCCAGGTCCTATATTGTCTATCTTTGCAAATAGTCATTTCTGTAATATCCATTTTTATTTATTTATTCAATTCACATAATATCTGATACTGCTGAGATCCAAACATTTTGTGCTCCACATGAGGTAAAATTTGCATGCGAGCTAGGATACTGTCAGCACTCCTAAACCGAAGTTGGTCGATTTTCCTCATGTGCCATTCCCCAAGTCTTTGACCCAACGATCTAATCCACAAGTCAGTCAATAAACGTCGATAGCTTCCATTCCTTGGTAGTCGTTAACCATAAGTAAATTCATACTTCGTTCATTCTTTTGGGATCCTGGAGCCCATTTACAGTATTGGTTCGAAATCAGGGTTTTCCAACTTCTCTACACAGACACTCTATACACCTCCCTAATCCAGTTTAAACAAAAAACATCCGCTTTTTGTCCTTTCACTTTCGTAAAATACACCCTCTCCGTGTGAAGGCTTTGAGTATTACTTCTATAGCGAAGCCTATAAATGCATGACCGTATTAGAGGGTTTCGAGAGAAAAAAAACTCTCGTCAGCCTTGGCTATACCAAGGCATTTGAAGAGGGGCCTGTTGTATAAACTTTTCATTCATGTACATACATAGTAAATGTATGCCTTATCGACAACCCTACCTGTAATATACAATACATTTTGGAAGAAATTGGGTCATTCTTCATTCCTTTTCGTTTATTACCGTCATTATTCAGGGAGTGTCCATAGATAATGAATCGCCAAGTGATACTGAAAACGCTAATGATCCACATCATCGACTAAATATTGTATTGGATAATATTATTACACAAGATAACAATAAATTGCCACATTCTATTCCATCTCAACATAGTAAACATTCGACAGTTCACAAGACTTCACCAAAGAAGTCTTCAAAATTATCGTCTAAAGTAAGTGTTCAACTGAAATTATCCTTTTCTGTAAATAAATAAATATTACTCTTTCATCATAAAAGAGACCCATTGTTATTCCATTGAAGAAGAATAATGATACGGTATGTAGTTACAGATGTCTACTTTCATTTTGTCCAAAACTTTAAAAAAGTTCGTGACAAATGGTGTCTAACGTTAAATGTTTCCTTAGTTAATATTGGACTTTGGTTTCATACTAGTTACTTCCCTTCAGCAAGATTTAGTCGCAATCTCAGGGAACTAATACTCATTGGTGAATCGGATTCTGTGTCACTCACAGTCTCGAATCTTTCTACGTGGTTATTCAAGACGCTAATTACCTCCTGTAGCACTGAGATATTTACAATTAACTAATTCTTGAGTAGTAACCACTGTCATCTTTGTTTAGCCATTTTAGTGTCCATGGGATTCTGTTGATCGACTCAACTAATTTCATTCAGTCTGTCGTAATCTCTATATTCTTATTGTATAATAAAGTATGGAAACAAATAGCAACCACAATTTATTACCGACATATTTATTTATTATTTATTTGAACACATAGATATTGGTACAAGGCGGCACCAAATACATATGTGCCACACAAATCCCATTCGATTTGTGTGAGGGTTGTGATACTGCTCGGGTGCCCAAACCGAAGCAGGTGGTTTTCTTAGGGGGCCACACCCGGAGCCTTCGACTTAATGGTCTGATCCACAAGGCAGTGGAACAATGTAAGGAGATGCAGTCCCATGGTAGCCGTTTACCAACGATTGGTTCATACGCCATTTGCTCCCTCAGGATCCTGGAGCCCATGTGCACTATTGGTTTGGAATCAGACTTTTTCAACTTCCCTAGGTGGACTCTCCGTGTGTACCAATCCGGTTAAAGCGCAGGACATTCACTTTTCGTCCTCTCAATTTCGTAAACAACAGTAATGCCACGAGAAGGCAGTGAGTAGGACATCCCTGGCAAAGGCTATAATACGCGTGGTCATGTTAGAGTATTTCAAGAGGGCGAACGGACTGGGATATTAAACTTTATTTGATATATCCTCGAATGGTTACTTATTTACTAAACCAATTTTTGTTTTGTGTTTTGTTCACATGTAAGCACCATAAAATGAATAAAGAAAAGGTGAATAATAATCATCAAGTAGTCAATGAATCAATATCTTCCGAAAATATTAATTATGAGGATTTATTGAACAACAATGATAATAATACAACTTATCATCGATCAGGCTATGAAGCATTCGACTCAGATATAAAACAAACTAAAGTATTATCATCACAAAAAGTCCGTTTGAAATCATCATTAAATTCTCATCATCATCATCATCATAGTGATAATGATAATAATAGTAAAAACAAACAAGTATGTTTTTTTCTTTTTTTTCCATTACCTTGAAAACATGAATACTTAATTAAATAAATGTCACGAAATAGTGTAATTTTACTGTAAATGTCTATTTATCATTTGATTCTGTAGAGAATAAATTATGCTTACCGTACTAATGATAGTTATACTGTCGAGTGAAAGTAAACTGTGACCGACCCAATAACGAAGATAGATACATCCCAGCTACACGAAATGTAAAAGACTATCTCATATGTAAACTTGACTGCTTCTTATTGTATGATAATACTCTTTAGTCCTAGTCTTCATTTGAACTCTTGCTTGGCTTTCGGTAAAAGCGTATCACTTGAAAGGGTGTCTATTGATTCAATCCCCAGCCAAGTGTTTAGTCTCATCGATTTAAGTATCTAGTATCCAGTATAAAATTATATCAAGTACCAGGACCTTGTTTTGCCATCATACCAAGCTTTTTTTATAAAAAATCTTAATTATAAGGTGATCATAAGTTTGTTGTAATTATCGAATCAGAAGTCAGTTTTCATTACTGAATGCGAACTCCAGTTGGAGAAAACCAAGAACTGCTCTATAGTGGTTTCCTCTTCTCAATACACAGACATTCCAGTATAAGACCTAGGAATTATAGGTTTGATAGCTTAAGTGGTCAAGGTTTCACACTGCTAATGACTCTCATTTTAAGGCGAATCAACTGTTCGTCATTCCTAGTGTCTGTAAGTTTTCATCTAGTTATCATTTCGTAGTTTGTTAATTAACTTCAAGTAATAAATAACTTAATTAGTTGATTATCTATTTCTTTGAATGTTGTTTCATATTCTTGTAACATCTTGTCAAGTTTAGTAGTTCTACGATTACTTAATCCAACTACATATTCACGCAAAAAAAGTCTAATTGACTCTATTATGTAGCCTGCAGTCTTTTCATCCTACGTAAATTTCGTCACAATAACCACATATATTATCGTTTATTGTATCTTTGGACTATCCATTCATTGATTGTAATCATTCTGAACAGATATTAAGTTGGATGTCGTTAGAATTTAAGCTAAATTAGAGAACCAATATGGTATGATCTACTATCTAATTTAATTACTCAGACGCCATTTTAGCCACTGACGATCAGTTCAACCATAATGGTTAAGATAGACTAACTTCATTTATTTATTTATTTATTTTAACACATAGACATTGGTACAAGGAGGCACCAAATACATATGCGCCACACAAATCTCATTCGATATGTGTGAGGGCTGTGATACTGCCCGGGTGCCCAAACCGAAGCAGGTGGTTTTCTTAGGGGGCCACACCCCGAGCCTTTGACCTGAAGGTCTGATCCACAAGGCAGTGGAGCATCGTGAAGAGATGCAGTCCCATGGAAGCCGGTGACCAACAATTGGTTCATACGCCATTTGTTCCCGCAGGATCCTGGAGCCCATGTGCACCATTGGTTTGCGATCCGGTTAAAGCGCCGGACATTCGCTTTTCGTCCTCTCATTTTCGTAAACAACACCCCCGCCACGAGAAGGCAGTGAGTAGGACTTCCCTGAATCTAAATCTAATCTAACTTCATTTAGATTCACATTTGCTTTATAGGTGGTATAGGCAGTGTGTGTGCGTATTTACAGGTGCCCATAACATCTCCAGATACTAAACATGTGAATGATAGCCATCTGGTTGAGGTAAATATATTGAGTTACTCATTTCTGGCTTATCGACTATTGAATCTGGCTTGTCATACATTATGTTTTACCTAGTCTCCTTATCCCTTGATTGCTAGGTGTATCTCGATGTAATCTTTAATGCTATTTGTAATATAACTTGTTACGGTTTGTTCTTTGTCTTTCATTTTTATTTCAGTCCCCTAATAATTCACCAATACCATCCGTTCCATATTGTAATAAATCCATTATTAGTAGTAACAATGATAATATATCTATACCTGAAACTAAGTTCTGTATATCATCATCAGTAATAAATACTGACATATTCACTTCCCTTTTGTCAACCGGTGAATTGAATTCATTCCAATCAACAAAAATTTGTTGTCCTAGTTTATTGTCAATTATTCGTCAATCAGAAAAGTCTAATTCTCTAATAATGCATACAAATGAAATTTTTGCACAAATAATATCTTTACTTGAAAAGAAGATACCATGTTTAGGTAAGTGAGTTAATTGTCTAAAGGAAAGGATCTGTTATGTGTATGTATTCACCGTTGTGTTGATGGATATGGAAGATGTTTTTAAACAATATGAAATGTCAGTTTTGATGATAATATCTCATTTTACATCTGTGACTAATATTAGTAATATGCAAAAATTATTTAAAAGAAAGATTAGATAATTTATAAATATGTATATATTTTTATTCGATCCTTTAATGTCAATGCTATGCTATGATTAGTATGACAAGCTGAAACTATGTTTTGCACTTTAAAGAAAATCTCAATGATCAATGTTATGACGATTGCATTTTGTGTAGAGCTATTTTTGTGAAATCTAATCTTTTTTTTTCTTTTACAAATCAATCGTCAGTAACAAACAACTTACATTCAATTTTATAAGCGGAATTGGATAGTGGTTAACAGTGGAATCCATGATTCTAGTTTCATTCTAATTCAGACAACCAATATGTATGAATTATATTCAACCTAATTATTTTTTTAAAAGTTGACAACCTCATATTTATATGTTTATATTTTGCATTTTATAAGAGCATATCATAGTTGTGACTTGATTGTTTGAGAATCCGGATCATGAGTTGTTTTTTTCTCTTACTCTATGCTGACTAGGATTTACGTAATTCGTCAATCTTCTCTTTGTTTGAACAATTCTCTCTTAGATTAACTGCTTGTATGTCTTAGATCATCAATCTGTTTTTGATCATTAATTGGCTACACTATTTATTGCTAAATTTTCTCCAGAATTTATTTCACTAACATGACATCATTTTACTTGAAATCTCAGTAATTTGTATTTTCACTTATCTCAGCTAAACAGTGTTTTTCTGTAATATGTTCGTAGTTAAATTCTAAGTACTAAGTAACTAATGGTAATAAATTGAGATACTTCATCCCGATGATTTGAAATAATGATAATTCAAATTATATATACTAATGATTGCTGAATTATTGATGTCTTCTATGTTACATTTGGATAAAGTAATCATAATTCGTTTATCAAATATAGATTTATGTACTAGGTTTTGAATTATTTCACTGTTGGTGTAATGACTGATCAAGCCTCAATAGATGATGTGACGGATTTCAAAATTGCGATCTGACTGCGAGCCGGTTGTTTTATAATCACTAGTCTACCTCTCTATTCTGACAGTAGAGCACCATAAGAAGAGTAGTTTTAATGCAAATAAAACGGATTACAAGTTACATAGATAGATGACGATATTGAGATGATGGAGATTTGTAGCTCAGGTGGATGATTTTCAGATAGAAGTCTATCTGAAGTTTGTGCTGATGATGTCGTTCAGAAAAACGATGAAAGCTCCACGACCAAACCATCCAGCTCAGAGAATAAAACTCCATCAAAAAGTTGAAGATATTAACCGTTTTTAGGTTTCATTCCCCTCGTATTTTGTCCAATACTTAATAGTAAATGCTCAGGTGTACATTTTCATCGAGCTCATCTTTTTTTCATGAATGTATTTTTATTTATACGTACAATTAATTTGTAGTGATTGAGTCTTTGGATAATCGTGCCGCTTCACTCTACACAGAATACATTCCACTCAGAGAACCGTTATGCATCTTAATGAAAATATCCGTAAGTTTTCAGTTAGCGTGCAGCTTTTTTCTCATCTTATCGATAACTACTGGCGATTAGAATGTTTTTCCAGATCTATACTTCATACTCCAATAAAAATCACATTCTTATGTACAGGACTCACCTACTAAGTGAACAAAAATATGTTCGAAAATACTAGATATTGTGCTTTTATCGATCGTTGAAAAAGGAGGATTATTTCCACAAAAAGTCTCATGTTTAGATTTAAGATTAGGAGATAGTTTAGGGCTAAAAGTAATGGTTAAAAATGGGATGAAAATATTCATATAGATGAATACTGATACAGTTCTTTGGTTTTAAATATTAAAAACCTTTAAAGCTTCGAAGTAATGGTCACTTCCCTGGTCTCTATATCTCAAGTTTAAGTGTCTCAGTGACGAAACATTGGTAGGTTTTACTAAATTCTTGCATAAGTCTGAAGAAATTACTAGTTATCTGTCGTTGTTTTTGAATTTGGCGCAAAACCACCGAGTATGTCCGGAATCGATTGATTCATCATTTAATTATATAATAGAACCACACTATATAGACAACCTTAAAATTAATAAAAAGGTCAATCAGAATGAACTTAGCGATTATTTAATTGAAGAACAATTTTCAGAATACACTTACGGATAGTCTACTGCTAGAAACCCTAGTTTTAATTAGATTTCGTATTTTGGCTCATTTAGATAGTTGTTGATCACTTACAGGACCTTGGACTCTTGTAAGGTAGCATCTCACGTAACTATGGCTAGCTAAATATATCCAATGAATGTGTGAAGTTTAGAGACGAGATTGTTGTACGACCCGCTATATTATTGGGCAAAGAAGTCTGTTAGGGACGGTGCTTCTTGGTAAAATCATATTAAAATTTTACGTTCCATGTAACTTCTGGAATCGCTTCAGGTTGTCAGCATAGTTTATCTCTGCCAATTTTACTTTTAACTATTCAGCAAATAAGTTACTTCGCTGAATTTTTTGGCTTAAAAATAGATACGTATAATTATAACTTTCGTCAATCTAAGGTGTTAATTCCTATTATGTCTCTCACTGCATAGTTTACTACTGGAACAATACGAATCGATATTCGATCTACCAAGGAGGATGCGATACATTCATGTATTGCACAATTAACAAATCTAGTCAAACAGATCAAATTCGACCTATGACATAATGTATCTATATCACTATATATGTAATAGTGTATCATTCGTTTCTTCTTCTTTCTCTTCTATTGGTTTTTCTTAAACTTATCCTACAATCTGTTTTTCGATTGTTAATAATCCTCTGTTGTGATTTGAGTTTTTTTTTAATTTCACGTCTACTCTGTGTTGATGTTGTTTGTCTGATTTTGTTATACAATATTACTTGTGACGATGATAACTTATTACACGAACATATATGTATCGTTATTCCTATTTTGATTGTCCTTTTATATACATATATATTTATGATTTGCCTATCAACGATTCCTAGCTAACTGTGATCTAATGCGTTTACCATGTATTTTTGATTGTATTCATGTAGTTTTGTTGTTTCGATTATCCTATATATACATACGTATGGTGTCTTTCAGATATTAAAATGTGTATATTTTATTGCGTCTTTGATATTTTAACCAATATAAGGGTGAATTTTTTTTGTTCACACGTATATTATTATTAATATTGTCGCTATTCATGATTTCCATTGGTTTGTCTTGTTTTCTCTTTAGGTAATTTTTTAGTCTTCTTTGATTGATACTCATCAATATGAAAGTTGCGGTACTCTCTTTTCTATCTCTCCCCTTTTCGTTGTCTGTATTCTTTTATTTCACCGTTTCGCATACAAATTTCCTTTTCATTTCTTTTATTTATTCCTATTGATGATTTGTCTAGTGTTTATTTTCTATGTGTTTACAGTTCTCTTCGGGTAACTAGTGTGTGTGTGTGTGTATGTATGTATGTATGTATAGATTAACACTTTATCTTAATACGTTACAGTTATCTGGATGAAATAATTCAACTGTGTGTAGAATGTTTAATTTTTTTTAGAAAGAATTAGAAACTATTAAGCATCTGATTACTCCATGTAATATTAATAAGAGTTCTTTTTTATTGATGCAATATTATAAACTATTCATCATTTTTGTGCCTAAATTTAACATAATAATTGAAAGAGAACAAATCAACAATCTTGAATAAAATCTATTGCGATAAATTATGTAAGAATTTCGAAACATGAGTATATGCGATATGATAAGTTATACACTCAACTTATGATATATCTGTAACCTTGCCACTAAGTGCCGTATAGCACAAAACCTCAACGTCCATGGTATTCTGCCGACTACCACCAATCACCTGACAATTATTTTTATAGTTGAGATCATGAATCAGTTAATCTCAACTATTAAATTACTATAATATTCACAAAAACCCTTTCTGAATTATTTTTATGCATCAAAATATGCACCAATCAATTATTTTACACCTTAATACTTATTTAACATAATAGTTTATGAATTGTTTCAATCTCTTATCATAACCTTCAACCATCTTACATCTTAATACACTGCGCGCAATGCCCAGTCAGTCAAACTAGTGACCGCATTGCAACTTGCCTAATCGAATCCAATCAGCACCAGAAGATTAGATGAACATGATATTGGTCGCCACTTAAAGATTAGCTCAGCAATCCGCTTTGCGATAAATCCTTACCAAGTTGGTTTTCATTTCAAGTTGATGATAACCAAAAGAAAAATAGTCCAGTTAGAGGCACATGCATCTATTCTAAAATAGAGGATATAAATTTACGACTGTTAGTAAATAAAATAAGCCCGTTGATCGGCGTTTATAAATGCTACTACTAATTAGTATGGTACCATGTATGGCTGGTCTCAAATCAGAACGCCAATAAGAAAATATATGAAAATCGGAACAACAAGAGAAAATAGAGTAAAAGTATTAGCGCTTATATAAAATCTATACAGGAATTTGATGTTACTTCAATCTATCTACTAGCGCTGTAAATGGATCATGATGTTTAGAATTGATCTTGGCTCAAGCATTCAATAATCAAAACTGTCACATGATGAAATACGATCATATCTCAATGCTTAGAAATTGGACAATACAGCATTCTCATTTTTAGAAAACTTGAACCTGACACAGTACAACAAATGAAATAAATCTGAAGAATACCATCCTTCACTGCAATTTCTACTGAGATTTGACAATAGTAAGAAATATAACAGTTCTTATAAAAAGTAATAACCAAACCAAACTGTCTCCAATAAAATATCTGAGAATGAGTGCGAAACCCTGTATCTATATAGGAAGTTTTCTTTATTTTGAGAATAGCTCAAATCAATTTAGTTTTGAAATGGTCCTCTGAAAAGTTAGCAGCGGCTCATCAGCTAAAATCAGTCAGTTCATTTAAGACGCAAACTGAAAATCATGTGTATCAACAAAGCAAAATAAAATTAAATACATCTTTGGTTATATTCAGTCACTCACGCAATTTCCCGAACTCATTTGTGGACAACTGAATTATGACTCAGCGACCTAAACGTACCATCTCCAGACCTAGATATATTTGATTTGGCGGTGAGTATCATTTGCTGAGACGTCAAAACAGCCATCTAGGTCCGAGATTAGCCGCCACGTTTTCAACTGAGCGTTACGTAACGGGGGATTTCGTTTATTTCCCCGCCTTCTTGCGAATGGGCGCCGCTTGTTTTAGTAAAAAAAATGCCACGGACTTTAGCTACATTTGTGTTTCTTATCTGGGATGTCGGGCTGTGGTAAAGTAGACGTGCTCATAGCAAGTATTTCTGGACAACTCCAACAGCTTGGAATGAAATTCGCAGAAAGTGTCCAGTACTCACCTACTAAGAGACGGGAAAATAACTAAAGGTTTTGAGTGTGACACACCCAATGAACATTGCTGATAACCTTAGTCCTGTCCAGTGAATGCCTACAATAATTCCCTAGTTGATAGGCCACAATAAAAACTGCTCCTAAATAGTTACGTATATTCTTATTGTATGACCATCAAGTAACTGGACTATATAATTCACTTTGTATTGTTTATTTAAATTTTCCCATTGATGTTTAGGACTGCAATAGACCAATCTCTTATTGGCATATTTGCAGATTGCCTTATGTCACAAGCAATGATGGGTGATGTCTAGCAGTGGAATCTTGGAAGCACGTTTCGTCCTACTTGAGACTCGTCAGTCGGACGCACCTGCATCCCGATGATGTTCACCCCGGGACTCGAACCCGGCACCGCCCGCTTCAAACACCATCGCGCCACCTACTTAGCTACTGAATCCCGAAAGCCATCGGCTTGTGCAATAGGGTGGAGTGTAAATTCACTTTGTAATGTTCGTCTGAATTCTCCCATTGATGTTTGGGACTACATAGTATTTATATTTCTCTTACTATACGTCCTAATTTGACCTTCAGACTACTGTTATACGATTTATTATTCGTAAGTTATGGTGAGAACCAGTGAGGACTCTAGGCTGCTCGTGCCGGTTAACGCACCATTGGTTCGTCACAAGGTCACGTAAGTCGGTCTTCCAATTGACGACTTAGCCACATGATATTTGATGGGGCCGAGGACATAACAATATAGTTATTGTTTTATTCATATACATCTAAATAAGCATTTATAATCATATTTGGTGTATGGCCAAAACTTTGTGGGTTTGCTACGTTTACCACTCATTGTTTGTAATCACTTCTCGGTTGTAAATCCTCCACTTATGTCGCCGGTACCTTTCCCTATTAAAACCCGGTCTCCCTTTGACACCTACACCATTATACGGCTACTATTCAACTAACGTGAATAAAGCAAAACGCTTGTATTCGCTTACCCAGTAGATTTCTTGTCCAAGAACTGTTTTCTTTTAAAATAAGTATAATTTGATCCGATTGGCACTGCTCGGTAGAGAAATACGTCTAGAATTTTGAGCAGTCTGCCGTGTAGTTATACGCTTGAAAAATACTAACGACACCAACTCTCCCGTTTCATTCACCTTTACGACATTCAGTATGTTTATTTAAAGCAAAACAACTTACAAGTTCCACCCATTTTCCAGTATCCCAACAGTCGACAGTTCATAATACAAATTAAATACACACAGAATAGCTATTTGAGGAAAGAAAGTACTGATAGCTTGTGTGAATCCATCACCAAGGTAATCACCGGTATTTCAAGATATCAACTAGACGCTGTTCCACAGTACATCTAGGTTTCAGATGTATACCACTAACGGGGGCTAAACCATTCGCCTTTACAGTATCATGAACACCAAACTAACCACCCAGACAATTAATAACATGATTCATCATTGAACAGGTTATCTTTCCTCTAATTGTTGACCTAGTATGTAGTATTGTACCACACTTAGATCCGTGCACAACCGCCTAGTCGTATTGTCTAATTCTAACATATTGCCTATACATTATTTTCGTCTCCACTATCGGCTGTTAATTTATAAACCCGTCATCTGATGTACATTAACCAAAAACACAGTTGCCTTCAAGGATGACAAAGCTGTTAGTCTGAGTACAAAGAAAGGTTTTAAACGAGCAGAAACAGTAGACTCAAATTCTGAAGTTAATTCATTCAAATTATAAGTGAGATTATTAATAAGGTGAATTAATGTTGTTAAAATATCCACATCCAAATGCATTAAGGTATCAGCAAGTATTCAAATGTTCCTAAAGGACTTCCATAAGACCTTACAGAATGACATCATCTGGATGGTTTCATCAGGTGGCACAACGCGTAACGAATGCACGAATTAATCGTAATTCAAACTAGTGCAGAAAACATTTCTTAGTGTTAGTTATAATAAATTTGAGAGAAAAACAATTGGGGTACTTTACAATCTCATGTATTAACGAGAACCTGTGAGAGAATAACCATACTGAAAAACACGAAGGCAAATGAACTAAAAAATTCAAAACCGGAAAGCAGACAAATTGTAAGTCATCAGACTGTTTGGCTCCTAAGTGTATTTGAGAACAGATATTGAGGGCTGTGACAAGTATATATGGTAAACCAATGTGAAGGTATCTGTAGTATTTGTGTCGTCTATGTGAGAGGATAATTCAATGATTTGTATTAACTTGTTCTACGTGGATTAACTGCTCCAGAACCTCTCCCACCCATAGATCCATTCCCCAATCCACCACGTCCACCTCGGCCACCACCACGAGAAGACCCACCAAAACCTGAACCTCTAGGTGCATTTCCTCGAGAAGTAACGCGGTTCTGTATTAAAACGAGAATAAGATATGTATACTTCACCACCAATCTTATAAAAAGTTGATTGAAAACAAATAGTAATTCAGATACTTTACAATAATGACTGAAAGGTACTATTACCCATGTCCAGTCTAAGAACGTGGGTTCAGTTCTTTTACTAATGACGAAATGAAACACATTATCCTATATGACCTACTGTTATATAAATAGTGGGGCGAAACAGACGCATATATACAACCCATCCACATGACATTAAATTAATGAAATAAACACATAGCTTGGAAACCAGTTACGATGTATATGGAAATATTAATACAAAAGTAATTGATTATAAATCGACCGTGACACACATTATGTAGAATCAATAACGACGGTCTTTCAACTGGAGTTTTCTTTGAAGCCGAATTTTTATTCAATTTACGGAACGCTAGTGGAAAACGTTAACAAGCTTTCTTGTTATAAGGCGACAAACAATATAAACCATGAATAATTAGCAATGTAGGCTGAAAGAACAAGGAGCCAATTTTGAACGTACACTTAGTAGTAAACTAGAGAGTGGATGAATCGAAACAGCGATCTCAATTACTTGTACTACATTTTAATCAGGCCTGAACTCCGTTATTAGACATAATTAGCTTAATATGAATATACATGTACTAATTACATGGCATTAGAACGCTCCTGAACTGATAACCTTAGTATGTCAGGGTTTGGTGTAAGTAATAACTTGACTACAAAGATATCCATGATGAAAAGCTTTAGTGAAAGTGAAATCAGAAATGCCATTATTTCTGAACAGAATCAAATAAAAAATGTAAGGTATTAACAACATATGCACTTACATCTTGTGTGTAATTTACTTCAGAAATCCCCCGTGATTCACCTTGCTGACGTGGCCCCATACTACGAACCCTAAAAATAATGAAAGTCATTTAGAGTACTTTGGTAGATTTTCGTTCCAAAAACATACTTCGTTAGTTGAGTTTTTAACCACAACTTGTGAAAACCAAGTCCTATCATTATTATCAAGAAGATGCCATATTCAAACATGTAACCCAACACAGTTCACAACCGAGTGAAGGGAATTTTCTACAACACGTATACGTATTACTTTATTGACTAAGGACTCAATGATGCTCAAGTTAGTTTGAAATAAATAACAAGTAGAGATGCGCGAATTCACTGCGCTTTACAAAAGCCGCAGTTACTGAAATACCTAGGTGCAGATCTTTTATTGATCATGACTT